AGAGCCATTTTAAGGCTTTAATACATTTTAATTATAAAGAATAATAGTGATCTTTGCTATAGTAAAACCACATTGAAACAAACTGCTGTGTTTCGTGTCTTCTTCATTGAGATACATGTTTATCTGTCACTGCAAATCTCATGACCTCTGTGCCATTCATCTAAATTACAGTCAAATAAATAGATATTGGCTATGTCACTCTGTATGGAATAGGATATTTAATACTTTTATATCTACAGAAAATGTTATTCTTTATAATGTTTTCCTGAGGCTAGGTCTAACATACCTTCTGATGGATCAGACTAATTCACTTTTTCTAATATCCACTGTAAGGCGGGGCTAAAACTGTCTCATTTCCATATTTGCTCATAAAGAATTTCCTGCCAGCTTATCAGTGTCCAGTCTCTCACTCACCTGTTGTAATTGAGAGGTGTGTAAAGGTGAGAAAGGTGAGGGGGGAGTTTAACCAGGCAAAAAGACAGGTCACAACTCATCATTACTACAGCTGTTATTACAGTTGTAGTAACGGATAATATTCACTCAGACAGTATTATTTTGAGACCTTATATTCCTCCACCCTATATAACTAAAGTTACATTCCCATAGAACTTTCGTTTCAAAACAGGTTTTACAGGAAAGAACAAGCTTTTATTTTTTAGCCATGCACATGAACCACATGAAGACCAACAACTTCGTCAGCTTTAACTAACCGTTCTTGCAACTGCTCTAAGTTGGTTACTAGGTCAAGTGGATTAACTGCCTGGCAAAAGCTTCTTTCTTTCCAGTTCACTTTGCTACGGCTTCTGTGTGTGGTTACGTAATCAGCACAGATTTAAATGTGCAGCTTGTTCTTTCATCAGATTAGAAACTCTCTCCATCAGCGATATTGAGCAGCTATTGTGGACTTTATTTCAGATCTAGTGCAGTCACACATGCACACAACATACTGCTAACACTGCAATTAATCCATCCAACTGACCATCCATTTTCTAACTGCTTTATCCAATTCATGGCTGCAAGGGTATCTTGGCAAGCAACAGGCAAAAGACAGGGAAGTCTATCACACTCACATTAGGGCCAATTTATCCAGAAGCCATTTAACTTATCAGCATTTCTTTGGACGGTGGATGCAAACCAGAGCACCGTGAGGAAACCCACATGACCATAGGGAGAACGTGTAAACTCCACACAGATAGCACCCCCGGAACTGAACCCAGGGCCCCAGCACTGCGAGACAACAATTCTAACCACTGTAGTACCATGGCGCCCCACAATGCAGTCACAATGTTGATAACAGTCCCACAGAAACTATGGGAATCTGGTTTTATTCAGATATTGTAATATACAGTACATGCAATAAAGTAGTCTTAAACTGGCTGAACTTTAAAGATATGTCTTACACTTATAGATAAGTATTTTTTACAGGTTTTTGACATTTGTGTAACTGGGATAAGCAAAGGGTTATGATAGTATGGAAACTGCAATTTCATTAGAGTGATTATCCACAGGACTGACTGTATGCTTATCGGAAAGTGTGGTGTGCTGTCTTTTTTCCCCATCTTCTTTTGTTTTCTTTGTCTCTCTATTTGAGGTCTGGAATTCCTCTGCACTGCATGTCCACACACCTGATACAATTAATGTCACAGCAGGAGCACAGTGATTCAATCTGTGTGAAGATTGCGGCCTGCCACACTAATTTTGTTAAGATGGCAAGAAGCCTTTAAAAACAGAAAGTGAAGGGCGAGAGGAGATGCAGACGCAGGAGAAATCTTGTACAACATATGCAGAACCAAGATAGAGAACATTTCTTTTTTTTGGTTTAATTTAACAGGGGAAGCTATGTACCGTACCTTTGCGAAACAAACTTTAGTTAAGAAACACTGGGAGACAAAGACAAAGCAATCTGTGCTGATTTTGCAGATCGTTTGATGACCAGTTTTGGGCTATGATGGGTAAGTCTGGGGAGTGTTTAAATTATAATTTCTTACTTTGATTTCTGCTCAGCAATGTGATTTATTGTGAGTAGATTTTCCTCTAGATTTGAGTTGTCTCTTGGTATGTTGACTTTGTAGTGTGTCCATCATCAGAACAGACATACTGTTTTGTAGTCCAGGTGGGTAGCTGCGTCAGCATGCATAGGCTGCAAAGGAACAAGTAATACGTTTATTCCATGCTGAAAAGAGAATAAAGAAAACACAACGTTTCGGCCTTGGAGCCTTCTTCAGGTCACGGCCGAAAAGTTGTGTTTTCTTTCTTCACTTTTCAGCATGGAATAAACCTATTACTTGTTCCCATACTGTTTTGTATGTGTGTAAGGTTTCTCTCTTTTCTTGTAAAATTGTCAGTAAGCACTTTTTAATAGAGAACCTGGAATGGATTAAGCTCTTGGATTTGCTGTATTCATTTTCTGTCATTGATACTACAATTGCCAGCAGCTATATCACCCTGCAGTTTTCAACTGGCTACCCACTGAAGCAGGGTTGAGTCTGTTCAGTACCTGGATGGGAGACTCCTGGGAAGCTACAGTATGGTTGCTTCTGGAAGTGGTGTTAGTGGGACCAGCGGGGGTCACCCACCCTGCGGTCTGTGTGGGCCCTAATGCCCCGGTATAGTGGCGGGGACACTATACTGTAGTGTGGCCTTCTTTCGGATGAGACGTTAAACCACATTTCTCAATAAGAGTAGGGAGTTATCCCGGTGTCTGGGCCAAATTCCCCCCCCCCTGCCTTTACCATGGCCTCCAGATTGTCCCCATGTATGATTGGCTTGCACATGCCCTGCAATGAACTGGCACCCTATCCAGGGTGAACCCTGCCTTGCGCTCATTGCTTGCTGGGTAGGCCCTGGCTTCCCGCGACATCGTATGGTATAAAGGGATTTAGTAAATGACATGACATGACACTACAATTATTCACCCACTTGAAGAATCTTGTTCTATTGGGAACTACCAGATTTTGAAACATGAGAGGTCCAAGTCCTATATAATACTAGGTGGTACTTTATAGTTGAAGTAGGTTTGCTGTTTTTTAATTACTTAAGGCTATAAAGTATCCACTACATACTTCCTGGTTTTACATTTGTCTAAATGTAAGCAAACCTCATGCAAAAAGATTTCAAGATTTGTTAACTTTTAAATAGTTTAGAAGGAGAGGCCAAAATTAGTTTTGCTTATTGAGTGATGCATGGTAGAAAAAGTTTTTAGTGTACTTCATGAGATCTGAGGCGATACAGTCACTGGGTTATTTGCTTCCTATAATTCAGCTGCAGACAACAGCTGAATGACAGGTGTTTGGGGAGTTTGTGTCAGGGCTGCCTGATGTTCACCAGATTGAAGAAGAGAGACTCCAGAGGAATTAGAGAAGCGGATGCTTTGATCAGAGATCACTTTGTGGATGGCCTGCAACATCTCCTGCCTGTGTTAATGTACTTTGAAACCTTTCTTTTTCTTTTGAGATGGTGAACTGAGGAGCCCTGCTATTGTCAGAAGCATAATCTGGAGCCGAATCTGGAGTAGTCCTAGAAGACTGAAGAATAGCACTGGACTGGAAAATAGCAAAAGTGAATTGGCCTGATCCATTGCAAGATACAGTATGTTAGACCTAGCCTCAGGAATACATCATAAAGAATAATGTTTTCTTTTGGAGATAGTAAAAGTATTAAAGATCCTATTTCATACAGAGTGACATAACCAATGCCTATTTCCGTGACTGTAATTTGGATAAATGGCATAGCGATCGTGAGATTAACAGCAACAGGTAAAAGTGTATCTCAATACAGACAACACAGCAGTTCATTTCAGTGAGATTTTGCTAAAACTAAAAACATGATTACTCTTAATAAATAAAACTAAATGAAGCCTTAAAATGGCTCCACCTCACTATGGCAGAATAAAAAATAATGACACAAAACAACAGAATACTGTCGCCGGAAAGCATGTTTCCTGTAGGCATGTCGGGGTCAATGAATTCTTTCAGCTTCCCATTTGTCCCTTTTGACTCCAGTGTGCAAATCTGACACATGAAATGTGAAGTATCAGCTTTCATTGGAGACCTTTTAAGTTGAAGGTGGGCATAAGTGTGACTTGACCAGAGCCATCCTGAGGAAATTCAGGTAAAGAAAACTGTGGCTGGCAGTCCTTCTATTAATGACAGCTACTGGTGGAAATTTGGTGAGTAAGAGCCCAGTGACTGACAATGACATTTAACACAGATAACACACTGCTGTTCCTTGACAGCATTGCTCAATTGCATTTTTTCTAACGTTAAAAGCGTTGAGAGAATTCATTTCAGCTGGATGCTTTTAAGTTCTTGGTGTTTAACTGCAAGCCATCTTGTTTTTCCTGTTAAGAGTCATCCTCCCACATCATTTGGATCAAATTTTTTTGTGCTTTCTCTGGATTCTCAGATGTAGCCCAAAAAAGACTGTCATTATCACCACAGACAGTTAAGCTATTAGATTTGGGAAACTGCAACGCTTGCCTCTAGAAAAAATATCGTTAAAAATCCATTACATTCATATTACATAGGAACATTTTCAATGATCCCAAAGGCAAACCACGTAACTGACTGAATAATGTTGAGTGCACTAGGAATAAAATCTGTTTAAAAGCATCACAGAAGAAACAGGTTTTGAATTTGAAGGATTTTTCGAAAATATAATAGGTTGCTAAAACAAGTTATTAAAATAATTTTGCACTCGCTACTGTATATAGCATCGTTTGTTTCTTATTTTTAGTTTTTGTTTCCAAAACAAAAAAAACAAACTTTTATTTTGTAATATCACTTTTAAGCGATAGAAGTTTGAAAAGATTTTAAGACAGAACCTAGGAGTTATTTTCCCTTCCAGTGATATTTTAATGTTCCAGTGTCGTTTGCAATATTGTAAGTAACAACTCTTTCAGTTCTAGAAACGTAATGTGACAGTTAATGTGACAAGAGTCACCGGTTATTAGAAACCAGTTTCTCCCCTATCCCACAATGCTCTAGTGACGTCGTGCAAAATAGATTGAAGCTGTGGCTAAACTCAAAAACTTCCTGGAGCCTGGGAGGCGTAGAGACTGAAAAAAAAAAATCCCCGACACAGACGCATAAAGTGACATTCATCAAAACAAAACTGAAATATCACCAATAATGGACAGCTAGAAGTCCTTCATTTAAGTAGACACGGAACAGGACACGGAAGTGTCGGTACAACTGATGAGATCAAAGCGACCCAAACTGTTTGGTTAAGTATAAAGAAACAACGTGGAGGAGGATGTGGTTGTGCTGACAGTCCGGAGTTCGTATTGGCAGAAATCTCGGCGACCAGTCACTCTCTCTATTGGATCAGGAATGTAGTGACCAGGTAAGGCGACACCAGCACGAACTGTCCGTTTGTTAATAGGAAAAGCAGCCAGTTTCGAAAGTATGGACACTTTTAATAGTGGGTTATTTCAGCCAGTGTAACCTACAGCTTGATTCTCTCTTCTCTCCCAATCGGCGTTGAAATTGTTTCATAAGGAGTTGAGTATAGCTACTAGTTTTGATTATTTTCACGTATCGGCGAGACGGTTGCCTAAACACTTGGAAATTGACTTAGCAGAAACGATACATTGCATAGTACAAAATATTGACTCATAATTTTGATTTTGGTTAGCATCAGTGAAACCAACTAGTTTTCTTCAAGCTTTATTGTCAGTACCCCTGTTAATATAAATTGCCGCTTGCAGTAAAGTTTCTGAAATTTTCTTCCCGGATTGCTTTTCTGCGTTATGTGGGTCATCTTTAAATATCGGTCCTAAAGCTCGGCACATCAGCTCACTGCTGCGGATATGTTTTAATCGTTTCAGTTTAATAACTCGCTTAATCGCTTGTCCTAACGCACAGTCCTGTCGGGTGCTCTTTGTGGATGTGCCGTCCAAGTTCCGAATCGTTAACTTCAATCGTTCAGTCACGGCGTGTGCAGCAAGGATTGATTTTAATCAGGACCGTCATCATTAAAAGTAACCGTCGCTTCCAGAATGTTGCCTGCGCTGCCTCTTTTCCCCAGGAAGCAGTCATTCACTGTACGTTGTCTGCTGTGGTCAAAAAAGCAAATATTCTTCATTCTCTGTTCTCGGAGATGGATATGTTCTTTTTCCGTCCATTGTTATTAGATGATAAATTATAAAAAGCCGGCTAGCATTATAGACAGAGTTTTATCCTTTCCTAGGGGTCTAATATATATATAATTTAATTTATATAATGCAGAATATAAAAAAAAACCTTTTCATACTGTATGTATACTACTATTAACTAGTATATTCTAAACTTAGGCCATGGGCTTCTCATGTTTTAGCTGTAGGTCTGTAAAATATATTATTTCTTTCTAATCTCCTAGTTTCACTCAGAGCATTTCTGTCCCTACTGGCCCTAAGCAGTAGCCACTGAACTTCAACCTGCTTCTCAGGAATCAGGGGGGAGGGATAGTTGTAATCACTCCCAGACAACTTTCCCTCTTAAAGTTGAACCTCTGTAAGTGCTAATGACTGTTGTTTCCTCTGGTTCTCCAGCCTTGACCAGCAAGGTCAGCAATCCTCTGCTTCTTGAAAGCAGGTGTTGTCAGCCAGAGCCACACTTTAATGTACTTTGGGCAGTGAAGGTACAATTCCCTGTCTTTTAGGATCGTCAAACAACAGATAACTGCTAAAGACACCCAAATTCACATTCACTGTGCCTGTTGGGACCTGTTCTCAGAACATTAGCTTGAACTAAAAAGAAAACTTGTTCTTACATTGTCATTAAACACATAATGACTTTTGTGCAGCAGCTTCTCAGAATGATGTGGCGCGGTGGAATAATAGCTGTTCAATGAAATGTTTCTAGAATTGCTGTTGCCATTTATGCTGATGTTGTTGAAGTGTTGACCAGGGCCACCTCATTTGAGAATGAAGCTTCAGTGAAGGGTGTTTAAGACCAATAACAGGACGCTATATGCAAAGGGCTGTGGGAGTTTGCAGATATATTGCCCAGCCATATTGATCCATTGCTTTCTTCAAACAATGGCTGGATGAGGTCCTTGGATTGGTTAGTAGTTGCAATCAGACAAGCTTTATGGGCGGAATAACCCCCTTTTATTAATAAATGTTTCTATGGTTTTGTGGTGTTAATACATTCCCAGTACCCCTTAAAATATAGGTTTTTTTTAAATAGCCTTAAAAAACACAGAAGGGTGGAGGCACTGTTATTGTATTGGGTGATATTTTTTAGAAGTTTTATCGAAGAAAAAATACTATTACAGAAGTAATTATCTCATCCTCTAAGCTTCACTTAGAAAGTGCCCAAGGGAAATCACAGGGGTCCAGTATGAACTTGTTTTTCACGCCTGATTCTGTTTCCAAAGGAAGCACACATTCAGTGTAGTAAAAATAAAATAGGTAATAGCACATTCCGTGTGATCCTATTGTAAATAATGATTTATGGGATTTTCAGGAGTACGTTAAAGAGGGTTATCAATTAGCTTGGAATGTTGAATCTGATAATGTGAAATTGGGCACGATTCAATTTATAGATTTATGATAAAGCCACATGTTAGTCATTTTATTTTTTTCAGTTAAAAAAAATTGCTAAATTTTTTCCCGATTGATTGGGCCTCATATGTTTTCTCCATATGTTGATTGTGATTTATTATTTACATACTTTCTTTTGATTGAAACATGCAGGGGTTTACTTGGCTGTATTCTGTGAAAGGAATGTCACTCTCCACTCATGTTGGCTCAAAATCACACTTGCAGACTGTGAGATCCCACCAGCCCTTAATGGAGAATTTCAGGCTCACACGAACCTTCACATCTGCCTTACTGCATGTAGTGGAATTTAGTGTAAAAGGCATATTCTCCATTCCTCAGTCACCACGGTGTCCTGACATCCCAACAACCAAAACACCCTCTGGGGTTTGTAACCGATAACCAAAACCCATTCTCTTTTGGGGAAGAGAAAACTCACCCTGACTCTCTCTCTGTCTAACCTAACAGTAACTATAACTACTGATAACCTCTAACAGGTTGAATCCTTAATTGATATCATGCTAGTTCTGTTTAGCCATTAGTAGTAGCACTGTAAACCAATTTGGCTGATCCTGTTTGGCCAGGGACACTAACCAGAACCAATGAGTTTTCCTTTGACACAGCAGTAACCGAGTCTGCTACTACTTTCCACAAGTCTTGTTGGTTGTCAACATGGATGCCATCAGAGCATTACACCTCTATATTAACTAAAGGGCAAGACAGGAACCTCTTGCCTTCAGAGCTAACCCAGCGGAGATATCTGTCCTTGTTTTTTCTTTTCCAGTCTTACGTTTCCATACTGCAGCCAATCCGCTTCTTGGAGAATGTTCTCCAGGTGGTGCCTAAACCTTACCCTGTCTAAAGCTCTGCAACCGAGAGACAGATCTTAATGAACTATCAAAGAGATTAAATCAAAGACTGACGTAAACTGTGCATTTTCATGACAGGTGTTAATTCATGTGTTCTCTCCTTGTGTGTGATCTTTCCTTTGTGATCTTCTTTCTTTTACTCACACCCTGTATAAAAAATCTGCTAATGCTTGCATGTGCAAATGTGTGCACTTAACCCACATTGCCCTGATCTCTTTGACAATCTTAACACAACCAATATAATCCTTATATAGTTCTATAGATACCTGAACCACATTCCTCCACAATGAAAGCTGCTCTGTATCCTGTAGATACAGGTTACCTTTAAAATTTACTTTTATTATTATTTTATTCTACTTTTTTGGAAAATGTTGTCAGTACCCCTGTTTTAATGTTTGCTGTGCTAATAATCAACGCTTTTGTTTCCAGCATGCAGTCTATAGAATGCTTTCAAAGTAATATAATGCAGATTTCAAAGGAAATGTTTCCTTTGATAACACATTGCATGTGGTAATTAAAATCTCTTATCTGATGCTCAGTCTAGCAAGGCAATGAGGGTAGTATATGCTCAGGGTGTTTGGTTAGGATGTCTGTATTCTCTGAAAGATGAAGTATCAGATCAGAGTGGCACAAAGTGTGCATGTCTGCTGTGGATCTCTTCTCCTGCAACACCACAGTCAGCTCCGTGGACTACCCTTTCTGCCCAGAGGTAGATGTGTTTTAAAATTGGCATAAAATGCCCTGTGAAGAGGTACCCCTAGAATACGATTTGAGTCTCATTTTAGTCGCAGTTGAATTTTTCTTCCTCTGCCCTTAAAACTCGCAAATGTTTCAAACCTATAGTTTATGCATGGATTTCAGGGACATCGATGCAATGTTTTTTTTGGCATGGATATGTTTTTGGCACTGGCACAATGTCGGATGCATTCCTCTCCAGTCCATCCCCACGTGGATCAGATAACAGGCGGCATCATTGTCTGAAGTGATAATGAGGTGACAGTGACAGATTGAAGGAAACGGTGACAGATAAAAAGGAGTGTAAAAGCACTGTACTCTTTAACACTGCAAGGTTACTGGCACTGCAGCAAGCGACAGGGGTCACTGTTTTGTGACAAACCCGACTGAATTCAAACCCATCTAGCACTGGCAGTGCTTGGTCAATTGCATGTACCAGCTTGGGAAAACCAACTTGCAGCTGGCTAGTAAACCAGGCATCTGAAAGAACATGAAGCAGGTATTTCCCGGATAAGTATCTTGGAGTCCCTTTACTCAAGATTTTGTTAAATGACGAACAGTGAGCTCATCATTCTTATTTAGCTGCACTGGAACTGGGTAAATGCTGCACTATAGCACATCTGAGCCTTGCTTTCATTTTTTTAAAAACATAAATTTGAATGATAGGACATCAGGTGGTTTTATCCCGTGGATTCGTTTTTTTAAATAAAAAATATTGAATCAAAGGAATAATGTAATACCGTATGTGCTGTACATTAAATAGATTTGGTGATTAACAGTGCTCTACCAAGTTAAATGTACTGTGTGTGATACAGCAAGATTACCATTGAAGGACTGCCAGATAAATTCTAACATTCATAATTCTTTGATCACTGAATACTGTAGTTACTGTAAATAAACATTAAGAGTGCACTTAGGGGGAGTTTTAAAGTAGCTGGCAGAGTGGCTTATTTTCAAAGTAAATAAAATATTGCAGATTAATGAAGGATGTTATTTAGGCAAATTCTTATTTGAGTCAGTAAGAGAATAAGTTTTTTAAACAGTCCAGGTAATCTTATGTCGCAGTTGGTACTTAATCGCTAGTGTGAAAAAACTGTCAGAACCCATCTGTGTGTCAGTCACATACTGTAAGAACAGGAAATTCTCTCCCAGTGTAAATTTAGGTTAATTCCTTGCTTCTGTTGTACACTGTCCCACCTTTACATCATGTTAATATCACACGCACCTTTTGAAGGCATGCATCACTGAATTTTGCTATATCCGAGCAAAGGCTTCCTCTGGCTTTAAGCTAGACTAAGAAAAGTCTTAAGCTTGGTTCCTGCTTTTGTGTTTACTTTGCCATGTATTTATGTAACTTTACTTACAGTACTGCATACAAAAGAGAATATTCATTGTAGGTATTATATCAGACCCATACAAAACTAAGTTCTAAATAATGTTTTCTCTGGATTTCATAATATAAAATGGAAGCAATCTGCAAAATGAAAAGGTGAATCTGTGAACAGCAGTTCTACTTCTTGTCTTGTGTCCAGGGAATCACAGTTGTGTAGTCAGCCTCATGTGTTATACTGAATTGATGGTAGTCACTAGAATATTTATTCTTAGCCTTTCTTACTTCCTATCCCATCTCCATTTTAGTTGGTTGTTAAGAATTAATCTGGACAAGCACTGACACAAATTTCAATGGCTGAAAAGGTCTGTTACCAGGTTATTTATGTTAATGGGTAATTTTACATGTGTGTGTAAAATTAAAAACATACAAATTTGAGAATACTTGTACTTTATTAATAGTAAGACCTCTACTGTATTGCTTTGGGTGAATAACAATATGGAATAAGCTATATCTAATGACTACCATCTTAAGAGCAAGAAGGAAAATACCTGAAAGCTGTTTTCTATTAAATGGGTATATCAAATTTTAAAACATCTCCTCATTACCTCAGTTCTAGAGGTAACCAGATGAAATTCCAGGATCAGAACTGATCCTGAAAGTGGAGTCCTTGGAAAACTTCTTTAATTTGAAAGTTTTTCAAACATAGACTAAGCGAATGGCTAAATTTTATGGTGATGTTTTTTTTTCTCAGAGCAAATGTGCCTGCCTTTGGGGTTTTTTAAGTATGGCAGATGTAGTTCAGGCACTGAAACCAGTTTTGCCTACTTTAGACTCTGCAGAACTAGAGAAATAAAATGTAAGATGGTGGTTTGCAGCTGTAATATTTCAAGGCTGTCTTGTGAAGTATTTTGCCAGCTGTCTCTGCACTGTGCGTAGTATTGTCCCTTAGGCATCTGTGGTATCTGCTTCAGTGGTGTTCATCTTGAAATACACGTATAATAACAACGTCAGAGTGTTAAATGTCATTTGGCACTGAAAGCTTCCACATTAAATGTTCTCACTATTGGCCATTTAACCAGCCCCTAGCAAAAATAGTCATTCATCCTGGCTGTGGTCTCACATCAATAGACTGCTGTTCTGTAATGTTGTTTTCTAGAATCCCTTTGAATGAGCAGTGCTAATTGGATGACATACTGTATGGTGACAATACAAAGTGCACTGTAAGAGCCATCATTTACTGGCTTCTACTGTTACATATGTAGATCACAGCTTTATATGAATAGAAAAAACCCCATCATCTTCAGATTCCAGTTTGACCCAGGAGCATTCCCTGGGCTATCATATTCAGAATGGAACGTGCTAATGAAGTCTAATAAAAAGACTTTTTGTTTGCAGGCTTTCTGCCTGTAATATCAGGATTCAGAGTCTGGCGACCAACCAGAAACTTGAAAGATTACACCTTGAAAGCTGAAATGAGTTTTCTAGTGGTGTCTGCTATTACAGGGCAAATGTTGCAGCATTGTGCAGCTGAAAAATATGTGAAGCAATAAAACTGAGATGGTGAAGGATGAAAACTAATTAGATTTTCAAGTGATAGTGCAAACATTATCAGCTGTCGGGTAAAAAAAAAAAATTCAAAGCAATTTTTTTCAAGGTGGAACCCAACCCAACAAAACTAAGAACAACAACCAACGGCCCCCCCGGGGAATGGAAATAGGGTTTTATTTTGTGTATTCTTTTTGTTTATTGTTGTTGTCATTCTGTAAAGCGCTTTGAGAAGCCACCTTTAAAGGTGCTATATAAAATAAAGTTTTTTATTATTTTCATTGTGTTAATCTGGAAGGGGTTTGTTCAGTAAGTTCAAATATTGCAGGAAGACATGGTCTAAATGGATTAATGGATAAATACCGAAATAAATGCAATGTAAGAGAGTGCTCTACAGACTGCATAAAAGAGCCCATGATTAAGAAATCCATAAAATGTACACCAAACTCCAGGTACAATTGGGGAATAAACTGTAGTAATAACGAAAGAAGAAAGAAAATTGCAGCAGTGACAAAAAATAATTACAAAGATTTTTTATACTGTAACAGTAAAAAAATGATAAAAGCTAGAGTAAATATTATGTAAAATAGTATGGGATAAATATAAGTAAATGAAAAAAGGAGGAGTAGTAGCACTATTTTAATATTTCACACAGTTATTTGTTTACAAAAGACGTGAACAATATGCCCCAGGTTACAAAAGGAGCTCCATCAGGATTGAGTAATTTTAACATAACTCATGATGAGGTATTTCAGGGACTAGGATGGCTTAATGGTAATAAACCACTAGAGCCCGATTCTGTTCTCACAGTTGAATGAGGGATTTGTACTTGATAATGTCAGCTGTCAATAAAGATTAGAACAGCACACAGTCCAGGACCAATCTGTCCTACTGCTTCTCCTATTTAAAGTACAGAAATAATACACCCGAACTGTAAGAGTACTTACAAACTAATGCCATTATGAGACACAGTCAACATGGATTTACAAAAGGGAGGTCTTGTTTCTCTTAGCAAGCCTGTTTTGTTATACAAGGATGGTGGATAACATATCGCCTGTACTCAGGATTCCTGTCGGCTTTTGATAAAAGGTTAGGTCAGTGGTAATGCACAAAAAAGAACTAAAAACTGATTAATGAATAGGAAAGTGAGCCATTTTAAAGGGTATAAACTCTAATTGTGCTTAAATTAGTGGTGTACTGCAGGGATCAATTTTAGGCCTGTTGCTCTTATCATAATTTTATATGACATAATGGAATAGATCATCAGGATAGCAAACAAATTAAATCTGGAGATAATGCCAAAATCAGGGGTGAATGGAATTTAACATTAACAAGTACAAAGTGATTCACACAGGATGTAGGAACATACACTAGCCTACGACTTGAGTGATTCTAAGCTACAGGAAGCTATACACGAAAGAGAAGTGGACGTGTAGGTTTCTTTCTGTCCCTGACAAGGTAAGACAAATTGAATTGTAAGAAAAAATACACCAAAACATGTTCTAATTAGACCTTGTTTAAAACGTATTCATCTTTGTTTTCACTACCACAGATGGGATATTGTATCATTACAAATAGATCACAGTAGTAAAACAAGGATAAAGGATTCACAGTTGAAAACTAAAAGGGATTTCTTATAGCTCATAAAATTGGGTTGATGCCCAATTTCTAGGCTCATTCAACAACCGAAAATAAAAGAAGTAAAACATTCAAAATTTTAGATTCACTAAGATCCTAAAGGACAAACAAGCAAAAAGAGACAAGTGACTACCTCTTGTTTGTAAACTTTTGAACGTTCTTATGTTCAGTGAGATTAAAGTCAATGAACTGTATCACATTGAGACAGAACAAATGATTTTTGTGATTGTGAGACAGATTTCAGTTTTTGGATAAAATAATTTGTCCCATAGAATAATTTATAATTGTACAGTTTTATTATGCACAGCATATTTTTATACAGTGTTAAATAAAATATAGAAATTTAATATATATATGTAACTTGCATTACTCTATTATTTGAGTGTGAATACATGGTGTCTTTTGTATTGTGGGTCATAAAACACTTTAAAAGAACGACAAAAGTGACTAAAAATAACATTCTTAAAGAATTCCAGAAGGTTTCTAGAACAGTGCTTTTATATTTCAGTATACTCATTGAAATCAATAAATCTGATTTTATCGTTACGGCTTTCATAAATGACAGATCTGTGTAGTAAACCCAGACGTGAGTGCTCTGACCCAGCAGCAGTAACTCAGGACAGCCGGAAAGAGAAAGCTTTGTGGGTGTTTTATAATTCTTTTGGTGTGGAAATTTTAAATATAAGGTATTGTGTTTGAGTGTAAATGGAAAGCCAATTCTGTAGGTCAAATTACAAAAGAAAAACATCAACATGAAGCTGGAAGGAGTGGGGTGTGGTGTCACCATAGCGCGTGTTCAGTCCTTCTGTATTTTTGAGGTGGGTGAGTTTGTGGTTTGCTGTGCTTCAGAATCCCCGGCCTGGGCTGTGTCCGTTGTCGCTGAGTGACTCTGCAGAGGCCATGAGAGTGCGCTGGTCGCGGAAGGTAGCCCTGCTGGCGAAGACCTCCCTCTTCCTCTCCGTCATGTGGGTGGCCTACCTCCTCCTGGAGCGTTCGGCCTCCTCCTTCCAGGGCTCTGGGGCGGAGGGTGCCGGGAGGAATCTGCTGGAGAGGCACTTCTCCAGCCAGGGGGAGAGCAGGGAGCAGCTCTCTCAGCCCGTCTACAAGAAGCCCCCTCCCGACCCCAGTGCCCCAGGGGAGTGGGGCAAAGCCGCTCACCTGGAGCTGAGCCCTGAGAAGAAGAAGCAGGAAGAGGACAGCATTGAGAGATACGCCATCAACATCTATGTGAGTGACAAGATCTCACTGCACCGCCACATCATGGACAACAGGATGTATGAGTGAGTAACTCCAGTCTCCACTGTGTGACACTTACTGTCTTAAGACATACTAATGCTATGCTAAGAAAAGTTGTTCATGTTGTCTGTGAGTCTTCTGGCCATATCTGTCCCAGCTCCTGGTTAACTGGAGAATGACAAATTAAGGTCATTTCTGTGAGAAGTAGTTCATCCACAATGTGCAGTTGTATCCATTGTGATAAACGTACTTTGCTCATTTTGAAGTCTGTGCTTTTGAATCTGATTGAAGTACAGATCTCTGCTCAGTAAACACTGCAGAGAAATTTATTCCAGACATTTTTTTTCACCACTTACACAGAACCACAAGAATAAATAGGTGTCACTAAACATGACAGGCAATATCATTGTTTGAAATGAGAATGATTGCAGTGATGGTTGGTTTTTGGGAAGATTGGCTGAAACTAGAGAAATAAACATTTACTGTAAACAGTGATGTCTTCTTGCTAGTTATATGGTTTTCTCAGATTTCTGTAGTTGGCATTTGTATGAAACGTAACCTTTTTAGCTGTAATGAAATAATAAATAAAAAAAAAAACTATTTTTGTGTCTCTTCTAATTAAAATCCATCCATTTTCTAACTGCTTCGTCCATCAAGGTCACATGTGAGCTGGAACCTACATGTATATCAGCAAAACAAGGGGTCACAAGTGGAAACTAATACCACCCTGGTATACCTGGCACACCCTGGGATGCCATGCCACTCCATTGCAGGGCAGACACACACATATTAACAGCAGGGCCAGATTTCCCAGACATTAATTAACCTACCAATAGGGTACGTCTTTAGACTGTTGAACGAAACCAGAGCATCTGCAGGAAAACCAACGTGAACACAGAGAGAACATACAAACTCCAGGCAGATAGCAGCCCAGGTCCAGAGTTGAACCCAGAGACCCAGAGCAGCAAGGCAGCAATCCTAATCACACTGTGTCACCCATAGGAAAGTCATACTAAAGCAAAAAGAAGGTTAATTTATGCCTGCGTATTTTCTACTGGAGTGCATGTGCAGTGAAGCACCTGCTTCAGTTAAACCCAGTGTTCTACAGCTGATACAGTATCTCATTTAGCCCACGGTTTGTATCCTGCATGATTCTCCGGTGTGGTTTCAGCTGGAATGGACATGTTTCAGCAAAAAGGAGGGGAACCCCTTTTAGGCATCTGGCATCTACAAAGCGAGGGACTGTGAAATTGTATTTTACATGCCAGATCCGTCTCAGCTGTGTTTGAGGAACTCTTTCAGTTTTATTTTCCTGGAAAGCCTATCTGAGCTAGCATTTTTTCTGCATAAGCAAACAGAGCAGTTGAGAAGACAACAAAGCCTACATATTCTAATGAGGCACAGAAGATAAGGAAATAATTGAGTGAGCTTGATGACAGAGAAGAAGCTATCAAGCGACGTGATGATCCAAATTGATTTATTTTTGTTTTAAATTAGGAATTAGGATAACATCTTCAGAGCTGCGTCAGTACGCTGGACGGTGAGACAGAAAATGGGCGGTTATTATCTTGTGTACTTAGGATCATACGATGTTCTGTGTACTTAGGTTTCAGTAGGTTGAAACAAACACTTTATGTACTTTTGGTAAACCTGGATATTCTTTTGAAAAAAAGGATTTTAAGCTATAAGTCTTCAAAGTTCTTTTTTACATTAGAACCTCCGAGTCCCGTCTAGACGTTTTGCCACTCATTTCTGTTTTGGAAGAGGGTGTGTCTTTTGTTCCCTAAGAGCTTTTGAAACTGGTTCTTGAATGTTATGTTATGAATGCCAGTTAGGCAGGTATGACTTAAAACTGCCCGGAGATTTCAGCGTAGTTATTAACTTAAATGTTACAGATTAACAATTCTTCTCCGCTTCAGAATATTTCGCCTGAATTTATTTAGTTTAAATTCTTAATTGAAAGTCTTGTACATACTGTATGCGTTTTATTTAATTATAGAAGGTGTGCATTCAAATAGGTTCCTCTGTTTTACGAGTTCTTATCTACACATTTTATACAGTATTTTACTGCGTAGTGCACCCTTCATATATACAAGTCATTGGCACTGTTTTGTTCTCAGAGCAGAAATACAATTTTAAAAATAGTGGTTCAGGTGGGTAGCTGCGTCAGCATGCGTAGGCTGCAAAGGAACAAGTAATAGGTTTATTCCATGCTAAAAAAAAGAAGAAAGAGAACACAACGTTTCGGCCGTGGAGCCTTCTTCAGATGTGAGAGAGACAGGGCAGTAGGCAAAGGTAAAGTCCAGTTTTAAAAATGTAATGTTATAATAATGTATAATAAAAAAAGAAGGTCTTAGAACTGGATGGAACAAATGCTGCATATTTTCTGTATATTCTTATACATTACTAAGGAATATGTGCACCTTGTTTTCTCTCAATATGATTAAACATCCGTATTAGCGTGGGTTTCCTCTGGATCCAGTTTCCTCCTACAATCCAAAATCAAACTGGCAGGTTAATCGGCTTCTGGGAAAATTGGCCCTAAGTGGTGTCCCCTCCATGGTGTATCCTGCCTTGCGCCCTTTGCTTGTCGGGATAGATTGTGGCTTCCCCAAAACCCTGTATTGAAAGAACCAGTTAGAAAACGGATGGAAGGGTGACTCAACTTTCTAAGATTTTGAAGTTGAGAAATCTTCTGTATGTACAGGTGTAGAGCAAAAATGTTTGAGTATCGGAAGCTGCCCACAACATCGGTGATCATAGCATTCTACAACGAGGCCTGGTCCACACTGCTGAGAACCATTCACAGCGTACTGGAAACCACCCCTGCCATCCTGCTGAAGGAGATCATACTGGTGGACGACTTCAGTGACCGAGGTGGGTGTTCAGACAGTAGATATGAGAAATGATGTCATCTTGGCATCCTTGTTTAATTAATGCTTGTTTTTAAAGGGGGTATGCAGAAAAGTCTCTATTTTTTTAATGTTAAAGCTTTGAAAATACGTAAGATAATAAGTGAGATAATGCAAATATTTGTTACTCTGTATTTTGATCATTTGTTTTGTAAATTTTAATTGCACGTTGGGAAACGTTATTATAGTTTAGGGTTACAATACTTAAGATAGTATTCCATGTAGAATGGCTTCTTTGTGCTTTATTAGCAAACAGTGATATATTTGACCCTCAAGTCTATTTTGAGAAAAGCAAATAAAAAAAATGGCTTGTACTGTTAATGACGGTAAGGACACAGATGTTTCTTCTGTGCTCCTGTGAACCTCACTTACAGTAAAATCCATGGATTTTAAAATGATTAAATTTTGGGTTATCAGAGTTGATTAGAGTATACAACAGTCTTTTGTCAAGTTTCTCCATTGAGGTCATCTTTCTTTGACATTGATTTTTTTTTGTAGTCCCAGTGACAATGGATAAGAAACATTCATTTTATATTACGTGGTTTCTTACGCTTTATATGACACTGAAAATTACTACAACAGCATAGCCAGAAAACAGTGCCCTCCATTATGGCGTCTTCATTTGTACTCTCAATAAGCTACACTTCAGCGACTAGAATAAATAACTTTAGAAATCGAAGAAAGATATCAAAATTTGAAAAGACCAGTGTTCAGAGTATTATGAAAGAAACTGCTATAATCCTCTAGGATTCAAGGGGTGAGCTGCAGGTAGGTACTGTATGTGATACATCCCTGAAAGATTATGAAAATTCAAAGCAGACCAAGGAGAAAGATAGATGAGTGCTTCCCAATTGCAGTCTATCTGAAGTCCCAGCTGGAAGAGTACATCAGCAATCTGGAGAGGGTTCGGCTCATCAGGACCAATAAACGGGAGGGGCTTGTGCGTGCGAGGCTCATCGGCGCCACCTATGCCACGGGAGATGTACTCACCTTCCTGGACTGTCACTGCGAGTGCATTCCTGGCTGGATTGAGCCGCTCCTGGAGAGGTAAATTGGGAAGGGTATTCTTGGAGGTCGTGAATGTCTTCAGTGATTTCAGACATTGGGTTCCTCGCACTAGATTCCCGTCATAAAGTGTTCTCCTGTGACTTATAGGCTTTGGTTAACATCTTCCTATTATAATGTTACAAATGGAAATCGTGTTTATTGATAATATCAATGTAATGTGTTTCTCTGTGAAGCCTGCAGTCAGAGTGTTGAGACTCTTAGTTTCTCTATGTTAACATCTCCAAAAGGGTTGTAAGATCCAGGCCATTCTGAAGAAAGTATAAAAGTGATTGACTGTCCTCAGATGGGAGTTTGGTGTGAGCAAGGATATTATATACCAGTTCTAGAAAGGAATTATCGAGGCATTTTAAGTTTTACGTCAAAGTGTGGTTGAAAATGCATCATAAAGTGGTAAATAATCTGGAGAGAGTTAGATATCTTAGGCTGTAATTAACCATCTCTTGCCACATCGTGTACTTAATGGACCAAAAATGCTATTTGTTTTAGCAAATGTGGAAGACACTATAGAGCTATCAAAGCAAAGAACAAGAACTCTTGTCTTCTGGAACGGTTTTATCTTATAGCTGTACAGTTTCATGTAATTCTGTTTGTACAGTATGCATTTATTTTATACTATAATAGTGCAATGCAGTGTTTGTGTCAGAATGTTTTATTTTAATCAAAGGTCAAATTGACATAGCTTAGCATTTATGTAGGAGTGTAACTTTATCTACCTCTACACCTGCCTACACCTCTGAGTCGTCCGTTATTGCTCTTAGCCAAAATACTGTGCTCTGATCACATCATAAAAATGGAGTCATACTGCCCTTTGGCCTATAGAACTAATGTGTACATAAACTTACACATTCTCCTACGGTCAATATTTGCAGTTCTGCCCTGATTCACACATTTCTTCAAGGGCTACAGCATGACATTTTCACAGGATCCACCTTTTTTTTCCCAGTGAAAACACTGGGCAGCTCGATGTTTTAAAATCTTCAGGGTTTCTGCATGCCAGCACAACTTTGAAAAGCTGATAGAGGAGACTGCCAGCTGCTGTGAATCAATAGGATTATGCAGAAATTAAGAGAGACCTGCATGATGTCAGACAGTCAGCAGTCACATGCCCTGCTTATATTGATACTGTACATCTCTTGAGACATGTATTCGGCTTGATTGATTTAACCAGCTGACCTAGAAACCAGAAACCAGTTAAGTTTGGTAATAGTTCAATTTTCTTCACGCTGATCTAACTCGGAAGAGATCAGATATTTGAAACATTTACAGAGGAGATCTTCCAAAGAGATTTTGAAAAAGACAAAAGTAAGTGAAACTGAACACCGATCAACCTTCCGTCTCCCCAGTTAAAGTGATGATAGACATGATACAGACGAGCTTGTTGCTGGGTCTGTTACTCACAGTTATAAAGATTTTTGCAATCTGTGATGTGGATAGATAATGACATTTATGTCGTACACAGAGGAAAGTATCACTACAGAAATAGCATACATTTCTGGAAACAGCGCATTCGAAACTGAACAGAAATTCTGAGTAAATGAAAAGCTTACTTATGAAAGTAAAAACATGATCTTATAAGGAATGTAATAATATGTATAAAAAATGAACATGAGATAATTAATTGTCTGGCTTCTTAGAACTGAAGAAAGATACAAGATGTGAAGAAGGGGTTAACTGATTCCTTTCTGCATGAGGACTGGACGTCTAAGCAACAGGCTAGAGTTTTGGCAGGAAAGGGGGATAACTGATAAGGATTCCAGATGCCAGCTAGGAAACCCCCCAGGGACGGAAAACTAACACTGACCATTTGGCCAAAGTCTGTAAACTGTCCGAACACCATGACCTCCCCATCTTTACCATAATAATGAGCTACGTCAGAAGGGGCAGAAAAGGGCTATATAAACTGAAAGTTTTGTACCGGCACTTTGAACAATACTTCGGTTTTGTTGTTCCTTGCGGGAACAAGACTTTGGTTTTATTGTTCCTTGCATGCAATAAAACTCATCTCTTTAACTTCATCTCGGGATCCAGAACTTATTTTTCTGTTACAACACCAGTGTCCCAGGGACGTTTGGGGATGCTGTGCCAAAATAGCCTGCAATAATAAGAACTATTAATAACAATGATGATTAATAATAACATGGCTCTGTGGCTAAGGATCTGCGCCTGTGGCTGGAAGGTTGCCGGTTCAAATCCCACAGCCGGCTGAGGAATCCTACTCCGTTGGGCCCCTGAGCAAGGCCCTTAACCCCAACTGCTCCAGGGGCGCTGTACAATGGCTGACCCTGCGCTCTGACCCCCAGACGTCTCTCCCTGTCTGTGTCTCATGGAGTGCAAGCTGGGGTATATGAAAAGATGAATTCCTAATGCAAGAAATTGTATATGGCTAATAAAGTGATCTTATCTTATAGTACTCTTCAGAAGTCTACTTGTATTAAGTATAATATGCACGATGGAAAGAAAATCATGTTTTGCTCCTTTTACTATTTTACTATTATAAGTTGTCCAGTTGTCTCATATCGTCTGGAACTTAAACCATAAAACAGTCTTATATCTCTTTCTTACAGAATTGGAGAAAACGAGACCGCTATTGTGTGCCCTGTAATAGACACCATTGACTGGAATACGTTTGAGTTTTACATGCAGACAGATGAGCCCATGATTGGTGGCTTTGACTGGAGGCTGACCTTTCAGTGGCACTCTGTACCTGAAGAGGATCGCAGCAAACGGAAATCTAGAATCGACCCAATCAGGTTAGAAAAATGTGCACCGTCCTTTCCGCATCTGCAGGTACAGTGTATGCTTAGAAGAGAAGCGACGTTGGGTTCATAATTTGATACCGTGCAGACTGTTGAAAAGTGTTGTAAAACAACTATTTTCAGGCCACCAAGCGGAGTGTTGAAAGGTCATGATACTGTGCGTTTAGAAGTCTTTCTCTTGGGCTCACCTCTAGCTTCTCGGTTTTCATCGAAATGCGTCCGTATTAAGCTTCACCAAATCACCGAGCTCTCAACGTTGAATCGATTTCAAATGCGTTATGTGCCATGTTTGAAAAGTGTACCAAAGACGTAAATCTAACAAGAAACGGCGCAGTATTGAGTAAGAAATTGTATTAAAAGTCACGTGTGTTCACTTCGGTGTAGTTTTTCAAAACTTGTGAGGAAAAGGTGGGCCTATTTTGAAGTGGAGTCAGATCTTCTGAAACCCTCCACATCTTTATGAAATAGATTGCGTTTTTAAATACCCATCTTCTACAAAGGTTTAGTGCAGCTTATATTATTGTTATTGCTTAACTAAAAGAGATCAATGTATTTGTCCAATCTGCTGCACTTATTACATTGTATCCTGTATTTGGCAGGTCACCAACAATGGCAGGAGGCTTATTTGCTGTGAGCAAGGCTTACTTTGAATATCTTGGCACTTATGATATGGGGATGGAGGTCTGGGGAGGAGAGAATCTGGAGCTGTCTTTTAGGGTAAGTCTCTCCTGGGAGCTTTGTGTCAGCTGCGATTCACTGGCCGTCTTGGCTCATGCTGATGTTTTCATTTAGCTTTTTCACTGGAGAAAGCTGGTGAAGTAAAGGAATGAAGTTGTAATAAAAACATTACACAGAAACCCAATTAAGGAGGAGGTTAAATCCTATCCTAAGTGATGACTTCAGTATCTCCAGCCCCACATTGTAATAGTGTTTTTTTTTTAGTGAGAATGTCAGTTAAATCAACAAGTAATTAGGCTTTTTTTTAAGAAAAAGAGAAAGCAGATCAAGTGAAATAATGATTTATGTATGAAGAAATCAAATCCTTTTTGGAGACTTTAAACTTCCATTCATTTTTTATGTTGTGTGGATAGGTTTACCACCGAGAAATAGTGATAAGAATCAAAATGGTTCGACTTCCTTTTGAAGATTTTTTTTTTTATAATAAAGCAACAATGCTATAGAGTTTCAAAGGTAAAAACTGCCTTTGCCCCCAGTTTGAAAAGGTTAAATAGCCAACTGAAAGGAAATTTCTCCATGCTATGTCTAGTAATATAATCGGCAAAAATGTGAGACCTTTCTGCAAACATTTTCAATAGTCTTCTTTTTGGTGAAAGGCAGCTGTGGATGAAAATACAGTACAGAGAAATGTCGACTTATCTAGTTTATCTTTATGTAGGTGTATGCCAGCCTGAGCTTTTTTAGCTTGCTTTAAAAGTTATTTTTGGTTAGGAAATTTGGTTAGATAGTCTTATTTCTGTATCAGGGGGAACATTAAAAAAATAAGTTTTATAAAATGTCATGATAAAGTAATTGCAATACAAGGGCTGTGAAACGAGGAGGTAGGTATTATCTAATGTTACTGCTGATGTTGCTTTCTTGTTCTTTTTCATCATTGTCAAAATTTGTGTCTCTCTGTCAGGTTTGGCAGTGTGGAGGATCACTGGAGATCCACCCTTGTTCTCATGTAGGCCATGTCTTTCCAAAGAAAGCACCTTATGCCCGACCCAACTTCCTCCAGAACACCGTACGAGCAGCTGAGGTTTGGATGGACACGTACAAACAACACTTTTACAACAGAAACCCTCCTGCTCGAAAGGTATGTAAATTCAGGAAACTTTTAATAGGAAATGGCCGCCACTTAAAGGAACAAGCAGACGTCAACTTCTTGGGTTTGATAACCGTACTGTAATTTAGACTTAATTGAATACAAGGTTTGACTTATTAATTTTCCTAGTTGATATATACAGCATTATCTTTTGAATATTAGAACTCGGCTCTAGGGAACATTATTGCTGAGGCTCAGCTGTACACAGAAAAGAAGCAAGATGTAACGGGGCAAGAGGCACTTCTTTTGAAAACAGGAGACACTTCTTTATCCCAAGGAGTTGTGGGAGTATGGAACATGCTATTCTGGCATCTTTAAAGTCAAAGTATCTTTCAGGACTCTTATAATTAACTTTCAGAGTTCAGAGTGAATTTGTAAAACTATCAGTCCTCTCATAAATACATTATTCATGTTAAAGATGTTTTTTTTGTCTTGGACATTAATTAACAACCTGAATTGTTGTCTTTTTTGCATCAATGTATGGTATGCACATGTTTTGAGGTTCAGAAGAGAAATATTGCAAAGCTATAACATTTGTTAGGGTCCCAGTCTGAGTAAAAGCACTAAGACATACAGTAACTGTGATACATGAAAGGCTATACTCAGTACCAGGCTACTTTTGGTCTTTGTAACATCTTATAACACTTTCTGTCATCTGTACCATATTTTGCTGACAGTTACTAATTGACTGCATTTTCTTCCATCCTTCTAGGAAAAATATGGTGATATTTCTGAAAGGAAACTCCTTAGGGAGAGACTGAAGTGCAATAGTTTTGACTGGTATCTGAAAAATGTTTATCCAGATCTTCATGTTCCAGAGGATAGGCCTGGCTGGCAAGGAGCAGTAAGTCATGCCCGTACTGTTCACAAACTTCCCTTTTTCCTTCTCATTTGCCTTTCTGTAACTGTGTGATCAGGAGATGTTCAACACTGTGCTTCTCTTTAGGTCCGTAGCTCTGGGATTCACTCAGAGTGCTTGGATTACAATGCCCCAGAGCATAACCCTACAGGGGCGCACTTATCTTTGTTTGGTTGCCATGGACAGGGGGGAAACCAGGTAACTTGTTTTTTTGCATAACTGTGGTCTCACACAGATTCAGTTGTTGTTTATCAATTGAGTTGCACTGACTGATTGTATCTGAATGATCTGCTATAACTGGTGTGCAGGATAGTAAATTGTTTTTAGAATGAATGATTCAGATCACCAGCAGCCAAAAAGGAAATTAAAGCAAGCATATACTGTAGATATCTTAAAAACTAAAAGGGGCCATTGATGTTTGTAAGAAAAAAGAGAATAGTTTTTGTAGTTCAAAGGTGTTTTTTAGTTAAAAAGTATGCACTGTAGTTTACTTTTATCGACATGAAATTGAAGCATTTGTTGAACTTGGCAGAGGGTCTGACCTGTATTTCACAGATGCACTTGAAGTAAACTCCAGTAATTAAACGGAAAGTTTAAGTCACAGTGTATTAGCCCTGAGACTGCTTACTCATGGACTTGATGCATCAAGTGTCACTAAAAATGCATAAGGTGTCAGTGAAAATGAGTAAGTGGACACTACACCATCTAAGGTTACTGAACAAGAACCCTAGATCTCTCCTTATAAAATGTGCTGCCAATTAAGAGACACCTGAGAACTTGACAGGAATGAAAACACTGCATCAGTTAGATTCTAGAAGAGAAACGTGCAGACCTACAATTTTCCATCTTCTATTGTTATGGAGTAGATTATTATTATAATTGTAATAATTATATCATTAAAAGAATTCTTGTAAGGATTTTTCTACTGGATGTTAAAATTCCATTAAAAAAAAGTCGTTATAAAATGTTATGAAGAAAAGAAGAAATAGCTACAATGCAAGGATATACAGTACCACAGGATCACTTGAAAAGAACATTAGAACTTGAAATGAGATGTTTGCACGGATCATTCGAACAATATTAGCACTAATAGTACACACATGTAAAATCAGGAATATACAGTATTATTGCACACAATTAAAGTGTTTTACTTGCTCATGTTTTCACATAATAATATTAGGAATAGGATTCTAACATGCGGCTTATAAAACTGATACATGATTAGTTTTTGTAAAGAGTACAGTACCCTTCAATTTTACAAAACTGATTTTCTTTTTCTAGTACTTTGAATATACTTCAAAGAAGGAAATCCGATTTAACTCTGTAACAGAGATATGTGCAGAGGTACCAGAGGGGCAAGACTATATCGGAATGAGATATTGTCCACGAGATGGAACACCGGTGCCTAAGAGCATTATCTGGGAGTTCAGAGAAGTAAGTGAACTTCAGAAGCTAAACTAAGATGCCTGAAGCCCATGTGCATAAACACATGTACTGTACAGCTGTAATTGATTTCCACTATGCATTTGTTTACTCATATTTATCACTTACTTAATTCAGAGAAATTAAATCATATCATTTTTTGTTCTGAATGATTTAGCTTGGTTTTAGAAACAAGTACTCACGTCCAGCGTTTTTTCTCCGTCGAGCTGCTGTCAAATCGCAAAGAAAAAAGTAATTCCCTGTTGGAGCCGGCAACAAATGATTTGTTTTCCTTTTTCTCCACAGGATGGAACAGTCTATCACCCCCACTCCAATACGTGTATTACCTCCTACCGCAATGCAGAGGGACGAACAAGCGTGCAAATGAGAAATTGCAACCCTGCTGACAAAAATCAGATATGGAAGTTTGAGTAAAAGGGATTGAAGACGAGACCAGCACCCAAGTGCAATTATCATGGTGGACTGTCACTGAGACTTTTCAAAGGAGGAAGCCAGAAAGATAATCTGCATTCACTAAAAAAAAGACAACTATCATGCCTTTAAGACATTTTCCTCAACTGAGAATGACATCTGCATTCACCTTAGTGCCTGTGCTAGTTAAACAGAAAATAGTGCGGAGTGTGTTTTTCAAAGATTTACAGGTAAGATTGAAGGTTTAGACAGTCCACCACCATCACTAACACAGCAGGACTGGAGTTAGAAGATAACTACTGCCCAGCCAGTGGAAATGCTGATGTGAAAGAAAAGAAAATATATAAAGAAGATTGCACTAATATGTCAGGAATTGGAGATGTAGATATCACGGTGCTTCGTTGTAGCTGTTTTTTTTATTCCAGAAAGGCAGAATTAATTTTATTATGCACCCTTAATGGAAAAAAATGCCACAGTTTGTTAAAAAAATAATTTGTTCAGGGATTAAATACAGTAAATACGTAGGTGCTTTGTGATTTCCTCTTTCCAGTACATACAGTACACTTGAAAACTAAATGCCATAAAGAAAGGTTAATTTAGGAGTTTGAGATTTGACCAGTACAAGGTGGTACTTGGACTTTTTCACCTTGAAACTGCTGTATTCATCCTTTTGTGAAGTTGGTTTGAATCCAGAGGTGAACTGATATGACTTAATCCTGTAATCCTCCTAATTTAAAAGGTCATGTGAAAGACATTGCATTGCAAATATCTCTCATACCACCAATATGTCTTACGTGCTGAAGATGTGGCATTTTCAGAAATGAAGTACAATTTTTTAAGGTTGCTTTCATTAAACAAACTTGTGGTAAGCCTGAACACAGTAAGCTATGAATAGCCGAGTAAAACCAGCCTTTTTAATACTGTTATTCTGCATAGTACAGGGTTTTTCTGCATTAACACATAGTTGCCAAAAGTATTCCTCATACTACCAAAGTGCCATTAAGTCAGAGCTATTTTTCTGTTGCTATATATGCATTTAAAAAGCTAGGAAGTGTTACATAGTTCTAAAGATTTTAACAATAACATTCTGTTCAGAATGTGTGACCAGAAAGTGTGTACAGGAATTGCCTTAAAAAATCTAAATTAAAATTTCAATATTATGCGCAGAATAAAAAATTAGGCAACAGAAAAATTGTAGAAACAGTTTTTGGGTACACATTTGATTATAGTCAAAATCACCTTACAGTTATGTAATGCGATTCAAATTCCTTTATATTCTTATTTGCATAAAGTTGCTAAGCTTCAGAGTTTTGGTCTGTAGACTACAATCTGATTCTTTCTTGTGTATATACAGTTTTTTTTCTTCACCTTTTCATCAAAGTACATATCAAGGTAAGATATATACTGTATACTGTATATACGTTTGTGTGTACAGGATATTGGACATTTTTTTTAAATTACATAAATAAACTACTAAGAAAATCTGAAAATAAAGAAAAATAGAAATACTACAGTAAAAAAACAATTATAATGTTTTTTTTTTAAAGAGAAAAAGGCATCAGCTTGTGGTTAATTTCAGCATAACAATGTCAACTAGACAATACAAATGAAAACTTAAAAGCAGTTAAGCTTTTGCTCTGCGTGTTTTCAGTTGCTATGGGTTGACTTTTTTCAGCATGGTTGGTTTTTGTACAAGGCATTCTAGATGTGTAATATATGGTTCATACTGTACTTCAGAACTAGAAATGAAAACTTTGCATTACCTTGGACTCCATACATATCTTGCCACAGACCATAGCCCCAATATTATTAGTACTGTACTGCAATCAATACAATACGTATCTAATTATAATCTACTGTATAAAACCATACAGTAGAACATTAAAGAAACAATTATATTACAGTGATTTAGGAATTAATTCTGCATTTTGATTGTCTTGATGGTGCTTGCCTCAATCGCATTGTGAAATTATGAAAAGCCAACATAAAAAAAAAACTAAAGAGGATCAATCTGCAAATGTTGGTGATTATTTTACTAATTCTGCAGATTCCTGTTGAGCCTTCAAGGTTATAGAAGAATAGCATATTTAATTTAAATAATATGCACATTACATTGGTTCATTAATTTTAAGGGCTTCTACACACAGCTACAATCAATAGTATTCATTTGAGTATTCTAGTACTGTGTTAGTGTTTTTTAGATGAAGTGATAGAGTTGTTTACTGCACACTGAAGCAGAAACTAATTTCTTTCTCAGTCATTGCTGAGCCTGGCATACATTCTTAACTACTCTGCTGGCAAGCTGCAGTTGAAGCTTGTAGTTGTGCTTGTTTGATCTGAAAAGTCTGAAGCTCTTCCTTGTTGTCATGGGTGATGCCTGCATTAGTCTGTGATCGCAAATGATTTCCAATGTGTGTGGAATTAGTTAAAGCCAGGTAGATCAGTTGAGAACATTCACATTTTTAATGGCCTGTTTATTCACATGAATGGCCTGGAGACCCATTTATATAGAGCACGGAATTTACTGAACCAATTTAAGCGACACGCCTTGTTCAAGTGTAAAACTCCAGCATCCCATCTATGATTTGAGCTCATGATGCTGTAGTCCAGGTCCACAACCTTAATCTCTGAAGAAAGTCTCAAAACCTCTAAATGAAAGGTTCAAGCCATTCACTGTAAACTGTAGTATATTCTCATGTACCTCTTAAGGACGTTTATTATTATATCATTAAAATACAAAATATACAATCATTTTTCATCATGTAACTTCAAAAACCTGACTTATGGTAGTATAAAGCATCTTAAGATCTTGTGAAAATGGTTAATAAATCTTATTATTTATGATGTGAGAGGCAATTTTAAAACTTGGTTCAGACAAACTGTTTATGAGACTTATGGGTAACCAATCCTCTGTAATTAGGTGGTATACTAAGTGCAAAATCATTGCACTCTATATGACCTGCTGATTCCAAAATCAATCTCTGTTAATGGCGTTTTCCAAGGTTGTGGTTTTCTTTTTATCTTGTTAATTTGTCCTTGCTAATATTCTGACTGTTTTAAGCCATATTTCTAAAATGAGTAAATATACATGCTTCTGGTTAAGGGTGGCAAGGTGGCGCAAACGTTGAAATTCAGAGAAATTAGCTTAGAAAGGCCCTGGGTTCAATTCCTGGGGTGTTATCTGCGTGGAGTTTGTAAGTTCTCCCTGTGTTGTGTGAGTTTCATCCATTAGTTCAAAAACATGCTTGTGGATGAATTGGCTTCTGGTAAAATTGGCCCTGCGTGTGAGCGTGTGGGTGTCTGTTTGCCCTAAGATGGACTGGCATCCTGTCCAGGGTGTATCCTGCCTTGTGCCCACTGCTTCCTGAGATAGTGTCTGGCTTCCCTGTGACCTTGAATTGGAAGGCTGAATTAGATGGATGGATTTTGCTGATAACAACACGTCAATACTGTTATGAGTAACATATTTAGTTTGTCATAATGGTTAGACTTAACTATGTCTAAGCTCTATTTTACTGTTAGTTGGCAAGAGAAAGCCTCAACACTGAAGGAATGAGGTTATACTGCACTGTATATGCATATACATTATCTGTACACTATGCCTGTACTTATTGCAATTGAGATCTAATTTCATAAGCTGATTTATGTCCTGTTTGCAGTTTCTCCATAAAAAGCCGACTAGGTTCTGAATTTCAAGAAGTGAAAAAAAAAACAGAAAAAGAGAATATGTTGTTTTTACAAACTGCTGTTCCTTTTTGTGTAAACACAAAACAACTGGTGTTGCTTTTCCTTTACCCTGGCAGCTATTACAAGTAGTTACAATACCTGAAAAGTGCTTTTCTGGACTGTATCCAAGTCTTTTTCCTCAAGGGTGATTGTTGATAAAGGACCAGGATTATCCTTCTCCTTATATACAATGTTGTGAGGGTTTGAAAAAAAAATTATTTACCATCTGAAAACATTTTAAAATACAAAATAATTTCTAATCAAATGCACAATACTGTTTAAATTGTAGGGGGTATACTGGGAGAATAGTGTCATTTGTAAGTGACTTTAAATTATATTCTTAATACAGCAGATTCTTGTTTGGATTTTTCTTTAAGTAATGGTGGAAAGGGATTTGAAGGGGTTGTACAAAAAAGAGATTGTGCATGTTTAAACTACTGATTAAGAACAAATTATTTTTGTTAAATTGTTTTGAATCTATAATTAAAATGCCTTTTAACTTATAGTGGCATTACTGTATCCAGACTTGGGCTTTTTAACACATTGACAATTAAAGTTTTGTTTATTTAAAAGAATAACAAGTGTTCTACTTTGTTCTTCAATGCAATAATACTGCAGTGGTTTATTAAAAACCTTTAACGTTTAATATTAAAGTATGTAATATGATGCAAGATGTACTAACAGGAATAGTGTTTGAACAGGAAAGGTATGAGTTTCCTCTTTAGCCAAACTATACTTCCTCTATAGTATAGTTATTTAAAATATAGAATCAAACTAAGTACTCCTGCTTTACAAAATAAACCATTCAGTTTATTAAGGTGTTTTTCTAATATGTATGTTATTATTTCACAGCATATCATTTAAAAAGTTGAATTATGATTTAGAGAACTTTTGACTTAAAAAGGTCCTATAACTTTTTGATGCCACGTACAGTATGTTTCTTAAGGTTTACAAATGATTATTACCAGTCATGAGAAAACCATTTACTTAACTTTAATGCTTATAGACATAACAATGCCAAGTTACAGAAAGTAGCTCTGTGATGTTTGTCGGAGTAACTAAGACAGTCCACCAGGCCTACTGAAAAGAATGATTTGTGTCTTTTCAACTAAAAATAACACTACTGTAGTGCCATCTGGTGGTGCAAACCAAACATTTTCATTAAAAGTAAACTCGGTTATTTGGGGGATAAAAAGGAAATGTATGACTTTAAATGTTAAGCACAAGTTGTACCTTTCTTCTTTCTTTCAGACATCCAAAATTCATGATGGCATGAATATAGTAATAAGTAAAAGCAGTTCCTTCTCATGTTAATTCAGTGTTCTCACTACAACTTGGAATCTTGGAAAACAAACACAAGATAATATGATTGGTCTTACAACCATTGTAAACACATCAGTTTTAAGTTGTCAGGTTTGTCTTGGGAGTTACACCTAATATTTACCTTCATCTCTGAACAGCAGGACTTAAGGAGTAGTAGATGCAGTCTGGGAAGCAGCTGTCAACGTGGAGCCTGATTGAGAACTGATGGTCATGTGATATCGTGTAATTTGTTCCAGTTGGAGGATTATGTGGAGAAGAACCCAATGAAAACTGTTGTATTCTTGCTATACATTTGCTGTGCGTCAGCTGACTGGTTGTGGGTGGCCTTGCTTTGGGGATGCCGGTATATGTATGATAAAGTTAAACTCTTGCGCAGTCTGGGGCTAAAAAAGACATCTTGTGGTTGAAAGAAATTACTACCACCATTCGCTTTGGAAATGTTATACTGTAGGTCTGCAACAGCATGTAAAAGTAATGTGCATATTCACCCTCAGTACTATCACGGAAGCTACATCAGCAGACTGCAACTCATGCACTTGTTGCTTCGTGAGATACTTATCTCTGCATTGCTGACAGTATACCTGCACGGCATCAAATAAAAATCATGCTTTTAACATTACCTCCATCTCCAGCAGGACTGATTGCTTGGTAACTTGACCCAATCAAATAGTTAATAGAGTATATTGTCACCATATCTCGCCACCTGTGGAATGCACTGTGCTGTTGCTAAAGGTTGGTACAGTTTATTAAGCTGAGGAAGCATCACAGCAAAGCGATACGATTGCTGTCATACAGGTATGTACTGTACATACAAAAGGATTTTTATTTCAGACTTTTATTCTACAATAGCAACCGCTCACTGATAGGATAATGGAAAAAAAAAACTCTGCAAAAGAATTGATCCCAATTTTCTAAAGCCAAACACATTCTTATTCGGATTTCAAAGAGTATTCCTTGGTTCCTCAAAAAGGCAGGACGTTTTGTTATTATTGCATCATATATCTGTATCTCGCTACATCTTTGCAAAGAAGAATTTGTTTTAAAAATGAATGGCTCTCTTTTTGGAATGGGAGTAAAGTCTGAATACATGTTGCCCACTAATTACTTCCCAGTTCAATTTAAAAAGCGGAACTTTAAAAGTTTACTAAATTAACCAAACTTTCTTAAACTAAAATTCTTACTCATCATTAGTCATTTTTTTTTATTTCCTTAGGAGACGCCTATTACAAAAGAAATACAATACAAAGTGATACAATAATAGTTGAAAACCAAAAATGACTTCAAATTTAGAAACAAATGTAACAAAATATCACAGTTCCTGATTATTTATAAAATTACATTTTATTAGATAAAAACTAGTACTGTTCGCAAATGCGAAAATGCTAAATGTATCATCCTTGAACATTACAAAAAACAACAAACATATTCAAAGTTAATGAAGATCAGCACCATATTATAGGCAGTGTACCATAGAATATTACAACACTCCAGCTGCTTTGTTCCTGTTAACGATATGAATACTCAATCACACTGTGGATCTCAGGTTACCATCTGGTAGATGGTTTAAATATTAATAATTTTCATTTTGCTAAACATGTAGGATATATTGTTTCAAGGGTATAACCTGCATTTTTGCAATATTGTATGTATTATTCTTTAAGGAGCGAGTTAGAAAATCAGAATGGATTACTGCTATTCTGCTAGACTGTTATGCTATGAGGTTTTTCACAAAATGTGGCGTTTTAGGGGAGTATTACACGATTTGGTAAATTTATGTTAGTAACCGTCTTCCCTAAATAAAATCCTGTAATGTCTGGAGTTCAAAATGGGGTTACCGTTCATGTCCTTTCTAATCTGGTCAAATTCACATTCACGAGTGTCGGGCAGTTTATTGTGTAAGATATACAACGGAGACTTTTATGTAAACCTATTAGGTGAAATTCTATAGAACGCACACACAAATGTATATAATATGCAAAATGTGTGCATTTTGAAGAAATAATTCAAGTATGATGTTTTCTCTGCGGACAATGTGAGCATTTATAATCTTTCCCGACAACAATTCAGTGTCCAAATTAATCACAGAAACCAAAGTTCCGTGAAGCCAAAAATGCGCTCATTGACAATTTTTCGAAATGTTTTTAAAAAAAGAAGATTTCATTCAGGTCTGAAACAAATTGCTGAATTTTGGGATGAGGGGAGTGCCTTGTTCCTCCGAGGTTTACATTACGATTTAATCCACCCGAAACTCACTTCACGTCACGAGTGTCCGTCCCCTGCTACGTACCCGGAAGCAGTCAGAGTAGCCGAACTTTTTGACAGAATTGCTACAAAACGACAGTAGTGCAACAAGTATAACCTATGAGAGGCGTGCTCAAGCATTTTGTTTTTAGTATGATCGACTGCTTCTTTTTATTTTGATTGCGTTCCTAAAAATCATTGCATTTCTGCAAAAGCTGCAAAAATACTGAAAACTTGGTAGCTCTATAAGGAGAAGTTTTTTTCTCTCTCCTCGAGTAAGAAAAGAACTAGCAAATTAGATTCCTCCCCTGCCATCACAGACTTCCTGGATACACAAAACCTGCTGCTGGTTTTACACAGGAGGTGTTAAATTTCGGTTTGAACGTTTAATTCCAGTATCCTGATTTTACTCATCTGCTTTCTACCACGAAGATCGAAAAGAGAAACTAAGGAAAGGAGCACGCGAAGTGGGTTTGGATAAGTGTTATAACTGTGAATACGCAGAAGTCTTTCCGTGATTTGACCTGGATTTTTTTCACATTGCTAATCTCATCTGGTAAATCCTTTTTCTCTCTCATCTGATGAAATGGGCAATGGTATTCACAGTTTACAAGACTAGAAAGCGTTTCTTTTCTGTAACGTTTAACCAGGACAAAGAGGTATCTTAAATGATATTCTTCAACCAAAAAGTATCATTTCCTCCGCAGACACTTGATATTTCCATGAGCATGTGCACAGTTAATGATTTCAATTTCTTTTGATCGGGGAGAATTGTGTCCCTAAAAAACCTCTTTCTGTGACGTGAATTAGTTCAGTTTCTTCAAACTTAGCCGCCCGGATAACCTGAAATTTGAATTGTACTGTACTTAGGTGATGCTTAATGCGTAAAGAGAGCGACAGGATCGGGCGCAATGGCACTTTTTGGGCGAAGGAGCCGGCCGAAGTTGATTATTTTTATTCTTGGAGCATGTACTGCGGGATATTTAATTTTTCACAAGAACAAGGACAAGGAGCAGGGATCTGCGAGCAGGCGAGGAGTTCTTACAGGTGGAACTGCCGAGGACACAGAAAGGTTACAGAAACCTGTTTATGAAAAGCCACCATTAGACATAAATGCCCTGGGAGAACTGGGAAGACCCGTAAAACTGGAACTAGATGGAGATGAGAAGAAGAAAGAAGAGGAGAGCATCAAAAAGCATCAGATCAATATTTATCTCAGCGAAAAGATCTCTCTTCACCGCAGGTTGCCTGTAATATGGAATCCACTGTAAGTGTCCGAAGTTTTCATGAGGTGTTACTTCCATTCAAGCACTTAACTCTGATTTTGTATTGGTAGAGGATATAATTCGATTTAACCCTGTTTATGATAATTAGCGCTTAATAAGACTGCTGCAATTTGTTTTCTTAACAAAAGCCTGCCATTCCCTCGTTCAGCCATGCATTCAATCGTAGAGATACTCTGTTGCAGCCAAGACATTCAATCCCCTGATTTTTTAGCAGCGTGTAAAACAAGAAGTATCTGAACAAACTATGAAAACCTATATAAATCAAAGAATGCTGGTGTTTCACATTAACACGAGCCTAATCTAGCTGTTATGATCCGTAGATTTACCGCACAAGGGTGTGTTAAAAGAAAAGCCATGCTCATTTGGGATTAAGAACTTTTTTTAGTTGCTACGTTCCCCAACCCTTTGAATTTGAACTGTTAATGAAATGAAAATGTATTTACTCGTACCTAATGATTACGTGATTTCTGCATCTAAATCAGTCTATAATGTAGTTCGAATTACAATATTCTTTGTTTTTAAGGAATCAGTACTTGCCTTCAGGTGTAGACTTCCTGAAATCAATGGGTGAGATCGTTTTCATACTATGCGAAGTAATTGAGTTGTTACTTTTAGGATGACGAAGCACCATGCCTTAGTAAAAATATTCTAAGCGATTTTTTAATAAAAAAAACGATCCTCTTAAAATGGCTTTCAGTGGACAAAAATCTGTGATGTTCTTCTTTCGACAAAGTGCAGCCTAAACAAAATCTAACATTTATGGAGTTTACGATTAAACGACATGGATGTTTGCCCGACTACCGTAATTATATGTATAATAAGCATTTTTTCCATTTTAGTGAAATTTGTTTCCCTTTCACAGTTCTTTTACATGATTTTAGGGCTTGAACCCTAAGGACTTAAACCACTAGGTTTAGTCCCGTTTAAAGAGCAAAGATCAGGACGTTGCGAGGAAGACGAAATGACAAGCCATAGTACGCCTTTACATTTTACACACTTTAGGTATACGATTCATTACAACAAGCGTTTTCAGATACAAGCTGCTAAAATTATAAGCAAGTAGCTTTAGATTTGGGCCATTTTTAGAATTTTTAACAATGCGATGACAATGTCAGAGTACTGTGCTGTTTCATAAATGTTTCATTTCTGTTGTACAGATAGAACTGGTTTCAGTCCCAAGAGGAATATAAAATATTGTATGGGATGGGAGTTTTTCGTATTGTGGGTTAGGTTTTCAGCTATTTACTTTTGAATCACCCTTGCTGGGTTCACTGGCTATTTCCCATTGCCACAAATATCACATGTGTTAAACATGTTTTGAAGGGAGGGTTTTAGAATTGTACCGTTACTGCCAAATATTGAGACAACGAACGGTATTTGCAAGGCGACCGGTTTTGAAATAATACTGTATATCGTTGAGTTTAAAATATCACGACCCTTTCAAGCTCATTTTTTTGTTCGTTTAGGAGATTGCGTTTAATAAAATTGGTTAAAGTCCAGTTTCGGACGTTTGTCTGTGAAGAGTTTGCATATTGTCATTGTGGGGTTTTATTGCTTATTTAAACTCTTAAACTGACGGGGTTTGGTTGGCTATTGTGAAAATACCTGCAGCAGTCCCATTCAGGTTTGAGAAATCGGGTGTTCTCGGTCTCCGCCTTGTGTTGTACAGTATACCTTTAGGATAGGCTCCGACTTGCTCTTGATCCTCACCTGGATAATTAGCTTATTGATAATGGATGGGTGTTGATATTTAACACACTTGAATGCGTCATCAAACAATGAGTGCTAAGTGCATATGCATATATACTGTAGATGTTCTTATGCAAGATCTACGGTTCAATCTCAGGTGTGTTTTATGAAGATGTCAGATACAGTACATTTATACATACACAGATACTGTATATCATTTGTCATAAAGTCCATAACTTTATAACGTAAATACTAAGTACTAAAAAGTCTAGAGTAGGTATCTGAGTAGATACCCTGAAGCAGAAAAGATCGTTTAATTTAATAAAATATTTAACAAAAATGAGGGAATTACTATATGGAGAGCAAACATTCCTTAAAAAGATAAAAGTCATATTAACTGTTTAAATTAAACACAATACTGCATATAAGATGGAATGTGCAACGTTTTCTGTAGTACTGACAGAATTTTGTTTCCCATGTAAGCACATGGGCCAGAAGATGGCATTGTTGTCCCACAGCTCTCTCGTCCAAACTGGGGACACTCTGTGTGGAGCTTGCATGTGCCATCTGGGTTTCTGTGTGTTTGAAGATGAGCATGTACCCCATCCAGGATATCTGCCCTGTGCTTCTGAGATAGACTCTGTGTTTGCACAACCCTTGCCAGAGTTCTCCACTTCACCATTGCTCAACCTCCAGCCACTCGTACTCCTGGAGTTTTCCATGATTCGCATCCCCTGAATACAAAGTGACAGAAATAGGCTCTACCTTTGTTTGCCACAAGTCAAAACACACCCTCATTTACAGCATTTGCCAGATATTGATTGCAGTAGAGCCCCAAAAACCCTCACTTAATTTTAAAGCCACAAAAATACCATCAAAAGAAACTGTCAGAATGTGTAGAATATTGAAAACCGTGCTCATTGCTGTAACATTGAATTTTGCAGCTGTAAAGAACTGAAGTATGATTACATCCACCTTCCAACCACCTCTGTTGTTATTGCCTTTTACAATGAGGCTTGGTCAACACTACTGCGAACGGTGCACAGCGTTCTGGAGACCTCGCCTGACATCCTTCTCAAGGAAATCATCCTTGTTGATGACTACAGTGAAAGAGGTGAGACGTTATTTAAATTTTAAAAGGAAAAAAGTAACTGCATAATGCGCTCAAATAGAAAACAAACGCCTGTTATGTTGGGGATAGTGGGGGCATCATCGGACACGAGGGACATTGAAACAAAGCACATTACTCCTCAAGAAAATATGTCACAGCACTGCTATTATATGCCAAAAACTGGAATTACAAGCCCTTCTTCTCCATACTTTCTTTTTTTAGAGCTACTGCAAGCAGCTACAGTAGGAAAGAGATGAGAGTTATCAGGGCACATTTGCATTTAAAGTAATCGCTCCACTGTCCTATTAAATTTGCTTTGTTTGTTTCTGTAAGTAGTTCCATATGTACATCAACATTACGAAATCCAACACGTTTTCTCCACCACTTAAACAGTGAACCCTCTGTGCTGACATGTTAGTGGGCTACATTAGATTCATACGCTGGAGGGTAGTACTGTCTACAAGCAGTACTGTTATTGACATTTGTATGTTATCCCAAAAATCAAGGATTGTGCTTAACAATGGAAATTTGGTCATGTACACGACAGTTGTTGTTTTTACAGTTGTTAAGGGCTGCATTCACTGTCACGGTGCTGAGATAATCAAGGGAGTATTTTTTACAAAATGTTAAATCTGTATGAAGAACATTTATTCTTGTCCGAGCTTTATTTCATATTCTCTTTTCCAAGTTCCATGCTTTAATATTACAGAAAGAGAGTGTCTCTAAGCTCAACCAAAAAATATGTAGGGCATAACAACACATCTCTTGGATAATACTTGCATTTGTTATCGTATCTGTTGCAACCCTTGTTATAATTTGCATGATATACACCTCTTTTACATCTGCTAGTAAGAAAGCCCATTCGATTGTCTGTTTTCTAACACTATTAAACTTCTCACTATTAATCACACTTTGTCCCACTCTCCCTAAACCATATTCTATACAACCCAAATACTCAACTTTTTCCCATTGAAGAAATATGTTGGTTGTTTCAGAATTTGTTACATGCATTTTACAGTAGTATACTAGCTCGATAGATAACAAGATAACCTGTTTAATGCTTTAGAAGTACAGAGATATTGTGTGTACATTTAAATGTGACAGATCTTAATTTCTTAGAGGGTTTTTTATGTAGAAAAAGTAAAACTATTTTTACTTTTTATATATTCTGTTAAGTGTGTCTTATGGTTTGTCTCGCACAAATGCAGTCAGAAAAGGTATTCCACGGTATCCAGTGCTTTAGAATTTGTGCACTTATAGAACTACCTAATATGGAAAGACTCTTCCCTAAACTATATAGTGCAACATAATAGTAATTAAAATGAAAGAAAGACTGAAAGTAAAAATATATTAGTAATCTTATTGATACAAAATTGAAATGAAGTGAATCTGTTAATCTTGAAAAATGTTTTGTGTGTATGCTGGAGAAGTGTGCAGCAATATTGGAAAGTAAATTATGTTTTCTGCCTTAGGAACCAAGATTTGTATCTGCATATTAAGCTCATGTTTATATAAAAATTAAATAACAGAGCTCTGGTGTTTGCACAAGTAACAGTTGAGACTATCCAAGGTAGCAGTGGTCTTGAGTGACACAGGGAAACTGTATACTGAGAACAAAGCAAGCAATTTGTATGTGGTGCCATCCTGTGGTCATAGGAGAGATGGAGCCATAAGTGAGAGAACTATAGTGCTTTATAAAAGGAGACTTTTCCCATTATATTGCCCCTTGGGGATCAATGAAGTATTTTGAATTGAATATGAATGTTCTAGTAGCTATATAGGCTGCCATTACTAATACAATAATAGACTGCAGGTTCAATGTCAGTGTGACAGGACAGAGGGCCTGCATATGAGATTTGATAGTGCCTAGCTTTATTGAATTTATACTGTACACACTTTCTTTATTGTGTTTTGTTTGTTCTGTGCATTGTCTCCTCAGATGATTTCTAGTGGCATAATTGGTATGAAAATGTGAAGCAATGCAGCTTTTGTGGTAATTTAAGTAGTAGTTAGGAGATGTATCACACCCTCTTTAAGCATTAAGAGATTTTGAAGGGGGAGAGAAAAAGATTTAGAAGTTTTAGTGCCTGGCTAGAGATAATCCAATTTAAAGCATTGATTTAATGGGCTGTCAGTCACATAGACACTGTGGTATTGTCTGTTTGGGTCAGACTCATGTGTTAACAGCTCAGTCCATTTGTTCAGTGTGTTCACTGTTTACTATTCAGTGTAAAGAAGACATTCTGTATTTTCACTCTTCTGCATTTCCAGTCCAGTTACATTCTTAAGACCTAGAGAATACCATGTTATCATAAAAGAATACTATTTTTGCTTGCCTGTGGCATGAAGACTGAGTAAGTCTAGGACTTCATTATTCAAATAATTATCAGCAACTTGATTGGGGATTGTGCCTCACTGCAGTAGCATGTCCTGCTGAATATGGTTTCTTGCTTCTTTCACATCAAAAAAATATCTTCTTAAAACAAGCATTTGAGTCTCTAAATAGAGGAATTAGGTACAGGGCTTATCCGAAGGTGCATCTAAGATCAAGTTTGTGATTTTTAATTACTTTAATCACTTCACACATGGGATAGGTTTAATCTTGTGGTTATATTTTTGTCAATTTTAATTTTGAAGTAAAGGCTGCCAGTTTTATTATTTTTTATGCAAAAGTGTAATGGTTGACCGAACTACTGTACGTCTTCCACTTTGGAAGTGCACGACGAGGGCAAGGTTAAGACCCTGGCACTGTAAAGAGCATGAAACTTACACGAACACATTGCAGAATTCATGCTGTACACATGCATATACACTGGTCCAATAGCTCCAGTAATATGATCAACTATTAATAATAATCTGTTCTGATATGTTATGATTAACTCTTTTTTAACATGTGTGCAGACAGAGCTTTCGGCAAAAATACTGTATGAGTTTTTTTTATAAGCATTAATATTATAACCATTAATTAAATAAGTAAACTGATCCCTGTAAAATCCATTGTCTTACATGATGGGGGATCATAGGTGGTGGTGGCTGCATAAATATAAATTAAGAAATGATACAAAATCTGAACCTAGAAACAATAAACCAGACCAGAAGGGACCATGGTATTAGTTTCCCTGATTTTATTTGTTTAATCTTGAGACAAAAATCGAATTGGTCACGGACATTCTAAAAAGAAAAATCATGCATAAGAAATGTGTAAAAAGCGTGCATGGTCTTCATTTCTCTTTTTCACTTCTACCACCATCTCCTCTCTCTCCTCTAACTGTGTATTCTCATCCTGCTTATCTTGTGTATTTTTTTTTAATTGTTGTTGTTGTCGTCGTTCTGTAAAGCTCTTTAAGAAGCCACCTTTACAGGCGCTATATAAAATTATGATTATTATTTCAAACCCGCACAGAACATTTGAAGGAGCCCCTGGAGCGGTATATTTCAAGCTTGCGGAAAGTGCGCTTGATCCGAGCCCAGAAGAGGGAGGGGTTGGTGCGGGCTCGCGTGCTGGGGGCGTCCATAGCCACGGGCGATGTGCTGACGTTCCTGGACTGCCACTGCGAGTGTCACGAAGGGTGGCTGGAGCCCCTGCTACACCGGTGAGTCAGCCAGCGCCATGGATCGTGTCCCTTCTGGCTGGTGGCGTTGGAAAAGAACAAGTGCCTTTTTTGCGGGAGGGGGACACCAGCAGCTGACCGTATAAATAAAAATGCAAGAATGAACCCCGAGCTCCAGAAAAACACACCGTGATGCATGAAAAAAATACACAAATTACAGGGGAGCAGTCAGAGCTTCAGATCTGAAACTGAGAAACTACTCAAACCCCAAATGTATTGTTTTCTCAAATGTGCCAGAATCATTGTTGTTGCTGCTGTTATTGTCATTATTTGACAGCTTTACTAAATTGTGTTATACTGAAGTATTAAGTGCACATGTAGCTTGAAAACATAGTTCTGATGAACTCCAGCAATTACAACCATCCTATAAATAGGATGCTAATTCTTAAGAGAAGGAGAAGGGCCGGCTTTCATTTGTGTTGCTTGTACTGTGGCACTGAGTGGGATTTGGCTGAGGTATAATGTTATGCAAGCCTGCTGCAATGCTTTAATGCACAGTACGTTCCTTTTCCCAGAATAAAGGAAGACGAGTCTGCTGTGGTGTGTCCTGTCATTGACGTCATTGACTGGAACACATTCCAGTATCTAGGGAATTCCGGGGAGCCTCAGATTGGAGGTTTCGACTGGCGGCTGGTCTTCACCTGGCACACAGTCCCCGAGCACGAGCAGAAACGAAGGAGTTCTCCCACTGACGTCATCAGGTCTGTAGCAGCTGAGAAGCCTTTCATTAACCCAGCCACTCTCTAGTTGCACAGTGAAAGAACGTTTCCAATTCTGACCTTTAAAGCCCGACTTTGACTTTTAGATCTACTCACAATGTTTAAGGAAGCACTGGGCTAACACAAAAGAATGCACACATTACACCCATTGTGAAAAGCATGAGATCACCAAAACTTAATAAAAACTCAATAAAAGCTGTCAACAGGCTGTTAGTTAGTTATCTTGTTACTTATTACTTGTTTGTTTAAATTGTGACTGGAGGTCTCACATTACATAAAGAATAAAATAACCATGTTAAGCACAAATATCTTGTTTAGAACTTAAACATTACACAGTTAACGTGTACCTGTAAAAACTGTGGGCCAACAGTACCATAACATACAAGCATCAGGAAAAGCACTACAACAACTTTACACATGTTCGTAAATAACATTAAAAGAGCTTAAATATTGCAACTTAAATATCACATGTATAAGTAATATAAATAAACCCCATAACATTACAATACAATAATATTTACTGACTCCTGAGAAATAAAAGACTGGGGACTGTTAGCAAGAGACCTTTCATGTTCCCTCAAAATAGTTTGTTTAAACTAGACTTGGTTTCCCATTCCACTTTCCAAACTGAAAGTGTGTAGTCTTGTGCTAGACTGTAAAAATATTGCAGGAGTAACTGGGAATAGTTACTGGGGTTCAGGTGACAGGTTTTCTCTTTGCCACATTATACATACAATATTCTTATCATGTGAAGATAAAAATAAATATCTGTGCCATTCAAACTTGTGCTTCACTGGCAGGTCACCAACAATGGCTGGGGGCCTGTTTGCTGTCAGTAAAAAATACTTCCATTATCTGGGCACTTATGACACAGGAATGGAAGTGTGGGGAGGAGAGAACTTGGAATTCTCCTTTAGGGTAAGATGTTAATAGTCAATATGCTTGCTTTTTTGTGCATATTTTCAGATCAGATCACTTTATTAGCCATCTACAATTCTTGCACTAGGAATTCATCTTTTCGCATACCCCAGCTTACTCTCCATTAGACACACAGACACAGATAGGGAGAGAAGCTTGGGGTCAGAGCGTAGGGTCAGCCATTGTACAGCACCCCTGGAGCAGCTGGGGTTAAGAGCCTCGCTCAGGGGCCCAACGGAGTAGGATTCCTCTGCCGGCTGCGGGATTTGAACCAGCAACCTTCCAGCCAGAGACGCAGATCCTTAGCCACAGTGCCACTGCTCTGCCCTGTGTTGTGGCACGAATTTTCACCCATTGTTATTCTAAGTGGTGAGCTCAGAAAATTCTCATGGGGGATAAACAGAAACAAGGACCAGCAAAAATCTTTCGCTTGATAAGCCTGACAAGGTTGATGCTTGGGATTTTAGTGGGCAGTGGCAGTAGTGGGTCACACAACTATAAATTAACGTGCTTAAAGCAGAAATCTTTCAGTAACTGGCTGAACAAGGAAATGACTTCATTTGAGTCATATACCCAAAACAAATGATACTTATTTCCAGATCCTACACCGCTTCTGAGTTCCCTCTGCTGCTAGTGGCACTGAGGCTAAGGATCTGCGCCTGTTGCTGGAAGGTTGCCGGTTCAAATCCCACGGCCAGCAGAGGAATCCTACTCTGTTGGGGCCCTGAGCAAGGCCCTTAACCCCAACTGCTCCAGGGACGCTGTATAAATGGCCGACCCTGTGCTCCGACACCAAGCTTCTCTCTCCCTGCCTGTGTGTCTCATAGAAAGCAGGTTGGGGTATGCGAAAAGACAAATTCCTAATGCAAGAAATTGTATATGGTTAATAAAGTGATCTTATATGAGCTCTTAACCCCTTTTGTTCTTTATACAATGCTATGCACATTGTCTCTTAAAGTCCAACAACTATCCTCTCAGCCTTGCATTCTACATAATACCTCTGTACCATTATGTTTACTTGGATGCCATATGCTTGGTGATTTAAGGTGATGAAGAAATTGCACATGACTTCCTGGCCAACGAATCTCTAAATCTTATATATCTTTTTTGTATGCTGCACCACCTTCTCAGATCATTGTTCCAGAGCATTGCATTTAAAACTCTTCATTCATTTCTTCTGATCAATCTTTTAAACCTTTTCTTTTCTCCCATTTTGGACAGTCATCCCTTCTGAACATTAATAGTGAATAGCCTGCCTTTACAACTCCTCTAAGTGCCAATGTTTTCCAGCCACACTGTTCTTTGCTGATCATTCAGGAACCCCAGTCACTGCATTTCATTATTGTACACTAGTGCACGGATGTGTTACATTAAATTAAACCAAATCCCAATCTACTTTCATAACGTCACAGTTGAGGACAGTGTTTGGGGGTTCTCATTTCTTCTGTTTCTTTGGCCTCACTCAGACATTACTTTCTGGAGCATCATCCCCCAAGTCTCTTCTCCCTCCTTGGTTGATTTGGAAACATTACTAAAGGCTCCTTCAATCCTTTTGTTTATGTCTCATGCATTTCATCTGTGAACCCTACCTCCATTATACAGCACCATTACTTTCCGTAAATGAAGAATTCAGCAGTAGTGCATTGGGGTTCTTTTCATCGGGTTTGGAGGATCCTAGCAGCTTTGACCTCGCAGGCAGGCTGCCCATTCCCTCAGCTCAAAATATATTTTAATACGTTTCATCTCTATGTCACATTCATTGGCGTTCTGCTCAACTACAAGGTTGGAAATGGTGTTTTAAAAGGAGGTTTCTGGTGGAGGTCAAATATCTCATCTCGCCCACTACCCCTAAACTGCACATACCGTAATTATCTTTTTTCTAAGCACTCTCTTTATGCTCTTTCTTGTACTCCTCCCTACACCCTATTTTCAGCCTTCTAGGTGTCCTGTCAGCCTCGTCCTCATGGGCTGGCTGCTGTTTCCTCAGTTAGGCAAGTTGCTCAAAATAAACTTTAAAACATTTTCTCTATACATCACACTATTCAGAATTTGGACAACTGAAAAATTATTAGTTACAATAGCTGTTAAAATAATAATATTTTTACTTAAGCTTACGCTGTGTACTAATTCCAACTGGTTAATTTCATTTAGTTTGCTGACAGTTTCATGTTGGAAAAAGTTAAGGTTCTTTGCGTCTTCCTTTTGAATTTGTTGTCTGTGAGTATGATGTGTTCTCTCTGACAGATCTGGCAGTGTGGTGGCAGCCTTGAGATTCACCCTTGCTCTCACGTGGGGCATATTTTCCCGAGACAAGCCCCCTATTCCCGCCGCAAGGCTTTGGCTAACAGTGTCCGCGCCGCTGAGGTCTGGATGGATGAGTACAAAGAGCTCTACTACCACAGGAACCCTCATGCCCGTCTGGTATGTTTCAGTACAGAAAACAAAATACAAATTTTGAATTAAGCACACATTCGTGGCCTTTCTGAAAATACTGTAAGACGCCATGTTGTCGCAAATCCCTGGTCTCGCCACAGGTGAGAGCACGAGCTCCCACAAACTGCGATGTGATGTGGCCCTTCCTGCTCACTAGTCCCTGTAATGACTAATGTTCTGCGATGTACAAACGAATGAGTACAGGTTGTGCAGCAGACATTCCACTGCAGAAATGTTCCAAGGTGATCAGGATGCAAAGTTAACAACTGAGAAGTATTTGACAGCAAAACCGTCTCGAAATCGAGAGCAAAATTTCTGTTGTATTCATAAGCCTGCTTGTTTACAATGTAATAAGGCTGCATCACTGCATACATTTGACTTTTATTGTTGTTTGAAATGCAGTTATCGGTGCTGATTATTTCTAATCCTGAAATATAAAAATAGCCTTGCAGTTCCCCTTTAAGAATTTACTATATCCAAGACAATTGATCAGATATTTTTGTTTTAGCATGACACCCCTTAAAAGTGACTGACGTGGTAGCCAAAATGTACTGTGATTTGTACATTGTTTCTACGCCTCCACTCAAAGCTACCCTTTTTGCTCTTTTTTGAATCAATGACCTGTACATGTAGGCGTAAAGTGTACTGCAAACATCGTCTGCATACCCGTGTTAAAAACCCTGGCCTGTACCCTTATGTTCTGAACAACTACTGTCTTATTTCCAATTTGTATTTTCCTGCCAAGATTTTGGCACAGACAGTGGCAAAGCAGTGTACTGTGGGCCAAGGAAATTCATTGCACACTCAAATGAAAACATTAATAATGTCGGCACAATGATCGCAGTTTTGAAGATGATTTTATATTTTGGGAGCTTGAGATACTGACCTTTAATAAACTCCTGTGATGTTGGCACTCTCAGACGTGCACAGCAATTGTGCACTGGGATGTATTTGCATGGTCGTTTGGAATGTGTGCTAAACTCTTTTGACCTATAATTAGTTTTCGTAACATAGTTATTTTATTTAGCCAAATACTGTATAAAACTGCACACCAGTACAACACTGTATATTAGATGGTATATTATTGGGGCAGCCATATCACTCTGCAACTCACAACTGGCAACCCACTGAAGCTGAGCAGGTGTGAGCCTGATCAGTACCTGGATGGGAGACCTCCTGGGAAAAACTAAGGTTGCTGCTGGAAGAGGTGTTAGTGGGGCCAGCAGGGGGCGTTCACCCTGTGGTCCATGTGGGTCCTAATGCCCCAGTATAGTGACAGGGACACTATACTGTAAACAGGTGCCGTCCTTTGGATGAGATGTAAAACTGAGGTTCTGACTCTCTGTGGTCATTAAAAATCCCAGGGCGTTTCTCGAAAAGAATAGGGGTTGGCCCCGGCGTCCTGGCCAAATTTCTCATTGGCCCTTCCCAATCATGGCCTCCTAATAATCCCCATCTATGAATTGGCTTCATTACGCTGCTCTCCTCCCCACTGATAGCTGATGTATGGTGAGCGTTCTGGCCCACTATGGCTGCTGTCGTGTCATCATCAACATTGGTGGTGGAGGAGAGTCCCCATCACTGCTTTGAGTGGAGTGTCCAGAAAAGTGGTATATAAGTGTAAACAGGGAACAAGTGGCATTAATACATTAATACATTTCAACTGAGGATTAAGCAGAATTCTGTTAAGAAAGTATAATTTCCCTTATGTTATTGAACCACATCTAATCGTACATTATTCTATACATATACATACAGGGCTTGTGGGAAAGCCCGAGCAAAAACTGTTTTACATACAATACCAGCAACCATTCTAGTATACACGTCGACTCACTCACCATCATTCATGATGCCCAATGTTAATCATTACTTTATATCATTATACAGTTTATTATTAATCTATCAGAAGAAATCTAGCCTGAGAGCTTTACTTGTTAGATTATGCAGTGATGGTGTACTTTTAATGAAAACATTCTTAAGTAGAACTTAAAGATAGAGCACTTTCTCTAAGACCATAAAACAATGTTTCTTCCATACAGCAACACACATGGCTGGTCTGTCTTATTGTGATGAATGGTCTCCTATGCTGAGATGCCCCTGTATGAAATGAATTGATGAATGACCAATTAAAGAAACATCCCCTGGGCAAGACAGCATTTATCATTTATCACTTCAGATTGCTGTACTGTATGTCATCCAGCAAAATGTAGTTTTTTATGGCTGTTTTGCCACATGCTATGGAAAATCTAGTTGGGAAAAAAACTACCTTTACGTCAATGTTTTTGATACCTTTGCACATTAGGTTTAGGTTTGTAGATTAATTCTGCATTTTAATTAAACCAGTGAAACTGGTAATTACATTTTATTGTAGACTAATTTGTTCATGCAAAAAGCACATGGATCAAATAGCAGCAATAAAGAGTATTATTTTACATTTTTAAGTTGAATTATTTTAGAAAATATTAATGTACAGTAAGTAAAAAACTTTTTTTATTTCTATTTGTAAATATTAAACTAAACCTTAAAATGATCTTTTCACTTGGTTGACCCTTGTTGGTTTTAAGAAAAATTAAAGTGTATGAATTTTGGGTATCCGTGACAGGCATCAGTCTAAACAAGGTGGCTGGTGTGATCTCGGCACATTAAAAGGAAACTGCAGACCTAAGACCAGTTAAAAATAATAAAATAATTGAGGGTATTGCAAAATGTTACAAATTCCAAATTAAACACAAAATCTAATGTAAGCCATGTTGTTGCAAACCCCTGGTCTCGCCACTGTCGAGAGCGAGAGCGAGAGTTCCCATGAATGAACGTGAAGCTGCCCTTCCTGCTCACTAGTCACTAGTGGTGTGTGCATTAGACATTTCACCACAGAAATGTTCCAACGTGATCTAGTAAGTAGTATTGGTTGGAAAAAATGTCTCAAATCAAAATCAATATCTCTATTGGATTAAAAAAGGTGTGTTCACAAGCCTGCCTCTTCTTTATACCTGGAAAGTTAATCTTTTAGACTTTACTCTGTACATTTTACTTCCATTGTTGTTTGAAATGCACTTACAAATGCCGATACTTTATAACCCCAAAATCTAAAAATCGCGTTGCAGTTCCCCTTTATAACTCATGATGGACAGAAGGCTTCAGGGTCATGGGTCGTTCAGCAAAACTCTTCTCAGTTACATACTGACACTTGTTGGTGTTGGGTTGTTGCCAACACTCTCTTTATGGCAGATCAGGTCAACTTGACTGCCTGGTGCTACATTGGGAAATCAAATGCTGTACTTCATCCTGAAATTAGTGTAGCGAGATGCACATTGTCCTGCTAATTGTGTAGCCCGCTTGGTAGTCTTGCACGTTAGCAGCGTTTTGTTACTTGTTTCTCTTGTGAGAACAGAATGTGACAGGTTTTCCCTGGATGCCATGGATGTGGCGGTTGTCAGATGGCCGCCGTCTCTTGATGTGTGCTTCTGTGTGATTTGCGAGGAAGATGAGTGGCAGGGCGATGAGCAGAGTTATTGCTTGTGGTTTTGACAGGCCATGGAGCAATGGTGGTGCCCAAAAGCCCACTGCGTGCAGATCCCAGTTGACCACTGGTGTGGTGACCCAGGATCAGGCATTGAGGAGTTTTCAGTGCCTGATCTGGCGAGCCACTCGACACTAACCTCGTGTGTGGCAAATAAATGCTGTTTACGTTCATCATAAGGAGTGACCCTCCAGGGTGCAAAGAAGCGAGATCTGGTCCAAGGCAGCAAAGCTCAAACCCTGTGCCATGGGTATAGCAAGATCAGAATCAAACAAATGGAGCTTTAAGTTTCCCTTTCCTCCTAGGCCTTGCAGTGGAAACAGAGTGGTGCCGAGTGATGTAGTAGGGTCCGACTGGATGACTTTGATTTATGTTCTCAGTGGAGAAGCAATGAGGTGGCACTTCCCTAAGAAGTTAGGACTGCTTTCCGACTGAGTAGGAACAAATTATTTCACCGTGGGTAAGGAGTTGTGTCCTGGAGAAACCGTGGGCTTGACCCAGAATCAATCAATGTATCTATCCACCCAGAAATGCATGTTCAATAACGCTGAGCACAGACTATTTTGTAATTGATTCCTGTTTTCACATATTACAGCAGCACTTCTATTGATGTACTCACAGAGACACCGCCAACCAATAAATTCATAACCCCTTACCTCCCCCTTGAGACCTGTTATGTATTTTGGAATAGTATTGTCAAAGTGTACGACATGCTTTTGCTTTAGTAAAATTAGAACAAAGTGAAAAACAATTGAGCAGCATGTGAAAATCAATGAGACAATCTTGAATAGAAATAAACATAGAAACCATTTAATATGAGGACTGAATTAAAAAAAATAAGACTTTTTTATCTTATTATTCATACATATGGTTTTGGCCTGAACTAATGTTAATCACCAATCAGAGAGGCTGTTTAGTTTTTGTACAGGTGTACAGTACAGACTGATCCAGATAAGTAGGTTTGAATCCCAGATTTATTTAATATATTCTCTGAATTTATGAGATCAAGGAAGCATTTTAACCTTAGGTGTATATATGTTTGATTTATTTCTCCATTGTTTTATTTGCACATCAGTTCTTTAAATTGTTTAGATGTTTCCCTAACAGTATTGTATGACTTCAGTACATTATTGATACTCACTGTCAAGCTCAGTGTGATTAAACAGTTTTAATCCAGCATTTGTTACCACTTATTTCTATAGCCAGTGATATAGCTGGAGATATAGAATTATAGGCGCAATGATCTATGATGTGCAACAGTTGTAATTTTAAATGATAATTTTTAATTTAAACCTTGTGCCCATTGCTTGTTAGGTTAGGCTCCGGCTATGGAAGGATTTCTTTACCGTTCATAATATTATTAGAAATAGAGCTACCATAAATTAAAAATTACAGGTGGCATGGTGGTGCAGATAGTAGCATTACTGCCTCACAGCACAGGAGCCTGGGTTCAATTCAGATTCCTCCCACGATCTAAAGACAAACTGGTAGGTTAATTGGCTTCTGGGAAAATTGGCAGTGGTGCAGGTGTGAGTGTTTATCCCTGTGTGTACACTGCGATGGACTGATGTCCTGTCCAGGGTGTGTGCTGTCTTTCATCTGTTGCGTGCTGGGATAGACTCCAGCTCCTCCATTGACCCTGAAGTGGAAGAAACAGTGAAAAAATCAATCAATGGATGGATGGATGAATTAGTAAGTTTCTCCATAAGTGAGACAATATGCCAAGCATTGCTCTAGAAGAAATGGTACAGTAGATGGTGCTCTTGTTTGACATTTTTGATGCAAGCTCTGTGGGTGGTGACAGGGAGCGTGACCTTTGGATTTTAACGTTCTGTTTTAGGAAGCCTTTGGGGACGTGACTGAGAGGAGAAAGCTCAGAGGCAAACTGGGGTGTCAAAACTTCAAGTGGTACCTCGAAAATGTCTACCCAGACATCCATGTCCCAGAAGACCAACCAGGAATGTTTGGCATGGTGAGTTTGTGGCCTTGGCCTTCCCCACAAAAAGCTTTACATTTTGTTAAGAAATGATCAAAACTGTGTTAATTTGATTGTGATTTGCTTGCTAAAAACAGGGGGAATCATTTAGAAGTAACAAGACTTTTTTTTCTAGCTGAAGAACAAAGGGATGGTGAACTATTGTTTTGACTACAATCCACCAGATGATAATAATGTTGCTGGACATCAGATCATCCTGTATCCTTGCCATGGCATGGGACAAAATCAGGTATGTTGCAATTCCCTCCCAAAATACTGTACTGCTTACATGGTGAGTCAGAAGCCATACGCATACACTTTCCGGACTATAGGAAATTCCTCACTGAATGAGGCAGAAATCTTAGGACTGAACTGCTGGTGTACTGATAGCACTTGTACCACTCAAGCAGGGCTCCTGACTGACAGGGGCTTTTTAATATATTGCACCATCCTCGTGTTTGTACCATGTTAAAATATAATTACTAAAAATATCGTTCTATAATGCTTTGCAAACATTATAAATAATATAATGCAATTAAAGACTGCTGACTACAGTATTATCACAGGAGTCATGATCTTCTATTACACGATAGTAATCTACTAGGATAACCTGTCCAAATGGATCTGCAGTATAGTATAACATAGATTTTTTTAATATACCTTTAATATCCTTGCTTAGAACAGGGGACATTATTATTCTTTCTGCTTCTGTCCACTGTTTACTTTGTCCTTGCAATTAAGATACCCAAGATAAAAAAAAACAAATTAGCCAATACTTTAATAGACAGTAAGCCTTTAACAGAAGTTAAGACACAAGTTTCTTATTTTCTCATTTACCAGTGAGCTAAATATCTAGTTTTAACCCTGGATGTGCAGATACAATGTCCATTAGCTCCTTAATGCATGAATTTCCATTTATTTCATAAATGTATTAATGGTAGAACCTGCAGGGTCTTCATAAATGTTGTGATGTCAGAAGTACAATATGTTTCATTAAAAAAAAAACCTTGGGTATTGCTTTCTTAAATGATCCACCATTGCATGCTTTAAATAGTTCAGACTACTTATGCATATTTCCTAATTGCCAAATATAAAAGCTACTGTACACATATCCAGCTATTGAGGAATTCTGAATTTGCTCTTTAGCAGGCTAATGGGCAAATTGCTCTTTATGGCCTTTAAAGGAATGAACAGTTCAGGACTCACGGAGGATTAAACAAAACATAAAGTACTCATTTGCATTTTCTGCAGTCTTCTCTTCAGTGTAGTACAGTATCTGCGTCAGAAAACATAGAGTGGATGTCAGTGGACTGTAGGAAACAATATATTAAGCTACTGAGTCTCTGTATAGTGGAGAATTTAATTTTTATATACAGTAGGGTCTTTCCATTCGTGAGGGTTTGGTGCAGAGACCTGTGGCAAATACAAACAGCCAGATTTGCAGGCTAGTGGGTAACTGTGCGGGAAGCAGGGCTCACTCACTAGCACTCTAGTCTGTTGCGCGGCTCATTTGAAATTTGAGAACAACCTTTGGCTTGCTTTCATCTTCTTCTATCCAAAACCCGTCGGCCGGCCTGAATCACAAATAAGCGAATTTGCACATGTTCAATTCACATTTAACTTGAGTACAATGTTTCGGATTTATTTCTTCTAAATAAATCCTAGCAACAACTGGCTGTCATAATATTGTTTAGTTTCTGGTTCAGAATAGTAAATTGAGTGTTAGTGCATTATGTTTATAATATTTAACATGGTTCATATTGACTTGTATACCATTACTAACAATTTACATCATTTAGCAATTTTCTTATGACTATAAAATAGTACTGCCCTTCAGTGACTGTTCTACAGTCCTTTACTGCTTTTACACAGATACCTAAGCCACTCTTTCATCCATTGATATGCAACATTTCCATACCCTGTTAATAGTAATGACTGACTGACACACATCATTGCATTTCTCTAAATTGGGACAGTTGAAGGTGACAAATAGAAATTTACTACTAAGTTTTGCTATTTAGTATGTACAGTAGTAGCTATAGTATGTTATAGTATAGTAGTAAAAAATATTAGAATTGCTTAATGCTAAAGAATTGCTTTTATTTTATGATAACTAGCAATTAGCCCTATGAGACAGATTTACAATTCATTTACTACTAGAACACAGCTGTATTCTGTAAAAAAAAATTTTTTTTTTACACAAGAATCTCCTAGTGGGGTATTGTGAATACAATATTAACACTTTGGTTTCTTTTTAGAGAAAGGATGCATGCTTATTTGTGTGAATGGATGATTATAATGGCAGTAAAAACACTTAGCCAGAGTTTATACCTTTATCTCTAGATAAGTTAGCATTTCTTTTCTTTAGGAAACTAAACTGTTTTGTGCCTGTTTTTGTACCTGACAGTTCTTTGAATACTCTTCTGACAATGAGATCCGCTACAACACCAGAGAACCAGCAGGCTGTGCTACAGTGCAGCCTGGGACAGAGTACTTAACCATCCACTTATGCAGGAAGCCGGGGCTGCCAGTCCCAGAAGATCATAAATTTATCTTAAGAGAGGTAAGAAAATTACTTTTTTAATGCTAGGATTGGGAGAAAGACAATAGAGGGTTGTCCTTTTCCTTAGTGGAATTTAGACAAGGAAACTCCTAAAGTTCTCGGAGACGTTTCTTGATTTGCTTCCTTGGTGAATGCTCAGCCCTTCAAAAATTGTTTCTGACCTTACAGATGACATCTTTTTATCTTGTCCTTGGATTCATTCAACCTTAATCATTTTTATTGCCAAGAACTTGAGAATAAAGATCTCAGAGTCCTAAGAATGACGGCGGAAGATGTTGGGGGGGAAAAAGGAATATTACATCTTGTTTTGTATTTTGTTTTTACTCTACCTTCACACAGACATTCAAGCTAGGTGGCACAACAACACCAGTTTTGAAAAATCCTTTGAAAAATGTACTGAAACCATAAATAACGTGTGGACTTGTGGTGCACTGGTCAGGCATTTTGCCTGGTTTTGCTTGGGTAGTGATGACTCCTAAATTAACTCAAGTACGTATAAAAGCTCATCTTCGGGAGTGAGGAGTCAGGAGACTATACTGCAATATTACAACCCTTCCCAGGAGTAAAGTTTACTCTTTAGCTGATCGCTGTTCTATGTGGACGTGAATCGTTCCTTGCCTTTCCCTCTGAGTGTTTCCTCATGATAAAATTTATATTGACCCATTTCAGACTAGCCGCCCACAGAGAGCTGCTGAATTCAGAGATTAGGACAATCGACACTTTACAGGTTGGGAAGAGGTGCCAAAGAGAAAGTAAAGAGTTTAAAAATTGAATTAGGGAGAAAAGCATGTGTGAAAGAGAAAAATGAAAAAAACAAAACAAATCCAAAGCAGCTTAGCTTTATTGTTTCCATGACTACACACCATTGTACATCTTTGCTGCTATGTAATGCCTTTTTTGACTTAACATTAACACAGTATACTTTATATTGACCCTCTTTATGAAATGTGAATTAGAATTTAAAAAAATAAAGAAGATGATAAGGCCCAGAATAAGATAACGTACTGTAGGTTGACTTTTAAATCATTACCCATATTTTTTGCTCGAGACTCCCAACTGCCTTTTGTGTGTGTATTTGTTTTCTCTAAATAACAAAACAATTCAAGCAAAACAAATAATTCAAAATTAGTCCTGTAATGGTTCTGTTTTTGAAGACTGAACTTTTAGAATTATACCTTATGTTTTAGTCACAATTTAACACACATTAAAGCCTTAACTGTTCACACATCTGCAGCTTTTACTTTTGAATAGTAAAAATTGTTATTGAATAATAAAAAAAACAATTTCAACAATGAAAAAATAGTACAAAATAAAAATACATGTTTGACCACAAGATATTCATTTTTATATGTATTCGTATTATCTGAGCATGTGGATCCATCTCCTTCATTAACTTTAATGTTTAAGTTAAAAGTGAAATGAAATTACTCTGTTAACTGAATAGCATTTGGAAACATGTTGACAGTAATCTAGATTTTTGATTTTATGAAGCAGGATTGAATTGTATATGGCTAAGTAACTATAGCAGAATATCCTGTACTCCTAACCTGCTCTTATCAACCTAACCCGACTTGGAGGTTGCAAGCTCGACTCATGGACCAATCAGTCCCCTGCAAAAAATGTCCATTTCTTATTTGATACTCTACTCTCTTTGCAGTTAGTCAGGTTGTTTAAACCTGAGATGCTTTAACTTGAGAACTTAAACCTGAGTTTGCCTTTGTGAAACAGTCACCCTAAGTTATTGGCTTAATCCTATGCGGATAATTTGAGAAAATTAGTTAATAATAATAATAATAATTGCTTACACTTATAAAACACTTTTCCGGGCACTCCACTCAAAGCAGTTTACAGGTAATGGGGACTCTCCTCCACCACCACCAATGTGCAGCATCCACCAGTTGTAAAACTGCCTCTGTGAGGCCTTTTATATACCTTAACTGTAATCTACACCCATGTGCAAATATGGCATTCCTACCCTTTCACAAATGAACTAATCAACGCCTCACCTCCAACTATGTCTACAGACAAGTATAAGAGGTTCTTACAGCAGTGGCCAATTGGCTGAAGTCTCAGAGACTAGGGGACACAGTTCAGCCTGTATGAGTTACAGGTCCTTCTCTGTAGAATGCTATATACTGTGTGTAAGAGCTTGTAGTCTGTATATTATTATATTGTCTCTTTTGTTTTCCTTTGTGTCTTAATTCTCTAATTATATCTGCCTTAATTTCTTTTTATTTTATTTTTGTAGGATAGTACCTTGTTCCACATTAAAACACAGAAATGTGTGCAAGCTATTGACAAATCTGACGCAGGCAGTCCAGCTCCAGCACTGAGACCGTGCACAGACACCAACTTCCAGAAGTGGTTTTTCGAGGAGAGACAATAATACAGAAGAATGTTTTGGTGAGACAATATTGAGGGCCAAGCAGAACTAAAACTGGCAGCTCTAGTTTTTATTCTGTTGCATTTTTTGAATGTTTTTACTTTATTATCTCTTTTCTTGTCATATTAGATTCAGTTGTCATAACGTATCACATGAGGTGGTGTGGTGTTACATACTGTACGTAATACTGTATGTTAAAATGAATTTACATTGTGCCTCTTCGGAATTTTGTCTGTTATGTTAGAGCCATCCAAACAGTGGTGCTCCAGCTCATTTGTGAAATTTGGGAGACTGAGAGATATCTTTTCTCTATTTTAAGTTGAATTCAGGGAAAATTTATTTTGGCACCACTTCAGAAAAGGAGACACCTGTAAGGCACACCTTGCTTCTTTATGAAAAACAGCTTGCTGAGTGCTAGGAAAAGCCTTAAACATGCCTTATTATTAGTGTTACATGAGGGGAATGTATTATTATTATTTATTAATGACCAAAGGAAATACTGTAAGTACCTAACCGATCTTGATACTTGTGTGTGATGTTTAAAGTGCTAGTATTCATACATAACACATGCTTTACACATATCTCCTGTTCTGAAGTGTTACTTGAAATTCTAGTATTTGGCCTCGGCCTCTTGTTCTTTTTTTAATGGTACTATATGTGTTTTGGACTGCATTCATAGTATCCTATTGAAGTTGTCAAGAGATGGCTTTCTTTGATTTTGCCCAAGATGCAAATTGATAATTTTAACTGGGAAAACAATAAGTACTGAAATAGAAGTACTACCTACACTAAAACATTTCTATTTTGATTTTGTTATATCTGTTTATAGGTTACCTTTTCCTCAGTACCTTAGGCATTTATCAACTTTGTTCCTTAATGCTCCTGGTCTCACCACAAAGCTGGATTTCTAACTACAACAACTGCTTGTTGAAACAATCACTTAATTCTGAAAACTCCAGTCTACATTTTTTACATGTGATTTATGTAAGTGATTTGTAAAACAGTGAATTTTCAGTTTTGTATAAACTCTTCCTTGCTCCATTGTTAAAAAAACATCTCCAGTTTATAAGGGGAACTGCAACGCTATTTTTATATTTTGGGGATAGAAAGAAACGGCATCGATGAGTGCATTTCAAATCAAAATAAAAGTAAAATGTAAAAATATCCGATTTACATTTTTAAATAGGTTCATTTTCCGGTATGCACAGCACAATATTCTACAATTGAGAACAAGGCCACAAAACATCTGGTGATGTGATGCGGCCCTATGACTTTGTAAACAAGCAGGCTTGTGAATACATCTCTTTTAATCCAATAGAAATATTGCTCTTGATTTCGAGATGGTTTTGGCAACAAATACTACTTGTTATCTGTGCATTTCTGTGGGGAAATGTCTGCTGCACAACCTGCACTTATTCTCTCGTGCATCGCATTACTTTAGCCATTACAATGACTAGTGAGCAGGAAGGGCCACATCATGTTGCAATTTGTCGGAACTCTTGTTCTCGCCTGTGACGAGACCAGGTGTTTGCGACAATGTGGCGACTGTACTGAACTGCAGTTCCCCTTTAAATAGCAATGCAAACTATTGCTTAAAGGATGTAGTACTTTTGGCACTGCTCATGAGATTTAACTACTGAATTTTTTATAAATCACTAGCAATTGCACTAACTTTGAAGGCTGATAGTAGACAAGTACATGTCTAATCTTAACCTCCAACACTCCTAGAATTAACGTGACCTCGGTATGGGGTATTTCTCTTTCATGGTGTCCTGACAACCATTATTCCGGATGTTGAATTTTTAAAGTGCATTTAATGAATACCTCACACATAAAAGCAAAGCAACAATGGCAGAACAGTTAATAGTAGAACATGGATGTACTATGCAGTATAGAAGGTTTTGATTTGAAACATATAATTCAGGTGAAGTGGTGATTTGCTGAAGACCTTACAGTCAGAACATCTTTCTAAATAGAAATCACATTTCAGGTCTGTTTGATTGTGTGCTCTATTATCTCTTTCTTTTTTTCAACTACATTTAAGTTCACACAACTTTAAAGTGTTGCTTGGACTCAGCAGTTTTGAACAGTGATAAATGCAGGACTGGGAAATTTAGTCATGTTCATGTCTGCACTGCACTGAAATAATTCTAATACGATTGTATTTCCTGCACATCAGATTGCTATATTTCAGAAAACTATTCTACATTATTAACGATTGATGTGAAATGATATTTAGGTTTATCTGTAGGGTGTCTTTTTCCTTCTGACTGCAATAATTAATAATTATTTAAATTATGATAAGATGTGAAAACTTGGCAAAAAACAGACTCTTGGAAACCAACCAAATTACCTTTTCACTAACCTTTAATTAATCATATTCTTTAAGTATTATCTCTTGTACCTTTTCATCCACATTTCTCAAATACAGTATAATAATAATTATATGGCACATTTTCAGGTGTGATGGTTAGTTAAAATGAATTTATTTTAATATATGTTTGACTCCTGGCTTTACGTTTTATTTCTTTTAGTTTTGTGGTCATGCAGTCCTGAAAACACAGAAGTGTCATCTGTGTTGAGAGGCAGTTGTCACAAGCCTATTTCCTGCCTTACAGTCTCAATGATGTGTTTTTAAAATGGAAAAAAACAACTTTTTTTCTTAATGTGTCGAAATGAGACTGCTCATGAAGAATGATTGATTTATTAAGGATTTTCATGGAATGAGACATGGAATGAATGTAATGTTGTGATATACATGTATTTCTTTTATTTAAAGTTTCCTAAAATATTATGGTAAAAAAACAATATGCATATATGTCAACACATAATAAGTAAAAATGTAATAATGTAAAATATTAACAAAGAGAAAGCTAGAAAAAGCATTTAATGTAACAAAGAATGATGCTACATATTTGCTTAGGACAATATTATAAAATATTGTTTTTTTAAATATTTTAAAATATATTTTAAAATATTTTTTAGAAATGTTTTTCAAAAATGATCCTGGGAATTGAAACGTTTAGCGAAATGACTTTCTTATCCTCTTGAATAGCTATTTTTAAACTTCCGGTACTGTATATCTGGAAAATGGCTATGAAGATAAAGATAAAAATGTTAAAAAAAACAATACGGCGGCACATACAGACAGGTTAAGGCTAAGGATTTCTGCTGCAAACAGCTCTAGAGTGACAGAGTTAAGGTGCTACTGTATGGCTGACACCAACAGTCTGCAAAACATTAATTCAAAACAACTAATTCAAACATTAATTCATGCGTGTATCTGCCCTGTTCATTGGTGGTGTGAGAGGGTGAACGGTGATCTCTGCCCATGGCAAGAGGCACATGGGAACACTGTTCTGTACTTGAACCAGGTGCTTTACCCTGATTACTCCAGTTGTATCAATGGAAACCCTTAATCTCTAGGGATTTATGTTGTGATTAATGAGCACTGCAACCTCATGCTCTCTTAGGTTGTTTAACACTACAGACACCCTGTACGAAGTCTGCTTCCATCCTGCTGGCTCTTGTTTTGTGGAAGTGATTTGATGCTGCTATAAGGCAGCTGGTGAATGGATTTGAACGTTGTGTGCTGTAACTCACATCATTAGAAATGAGTCAGCACAAAGGGAAGTCACTCCAAGTACCAAGTACTTGCACTTTGTTAATGTCTGTCCTTTTCAAAACAAAACTATTTAATGTGAAATTGTGTAGTGGACTTAGCAGTACATTTCTTGTATTATTACAAAGAGTGAGACAATTTTGTCGATGGCTAAATGTGTATATAATGCATACAATAGGAGTACTCAAAATTAAACGTAAGCAGGAATTGAACTGTATTTTCTCAGTGATATTTATAGTTCTGCTCTTCAAGAGGCCTTAACAAATATGACGTGTGTAAGGGCTTATATAGATTTTTATTTTTTTTAATAAATTACATTGTTATTGCTGATCCCAGGTAAAAACTGGAATAATATCTTTTGTTAAAATATCATTTTGTAATTTTTAATTCTTGTTCAGGGGAAGGGCTATTTAGCTTTTTGCACTTTTGGGGATTCACTTTTGTATATTTCAATTAACTTAAATAAAAACTGAAATAATACATTCTTCATGTGTTTATATTCTGTATTGGTGTCTAGTATTGTAAAGAGAGAATTTTGACAAATTGTTTAAATATAATCTAAAATCATAAACATCTTCCTAAGTCTGATATTTCTCATCATCCAGCAAAAATTTGGACAGGTTTCACAGCCTTTGAACTGCAAGCTTTTGGATGGTTCACATACTTAGAGTTACAAAACGTGTGCTGAGACAAATTTATCAAAATCTTGTGCCAAGGACAGGCATTCCCTTTGTGCCCAAAGTTCAAGCCATATATTTTACAACAAAGATTCATTTCAAAATTAAAATGTCCATTTTCGTGGTTATAATTACTCATTAATAGCAAAACATCAAAAGACAGAGGAAAAAACACCCCCTTTTTCCTTTAAAACATTAATGAAAGCTCTACATTGTTTTGTAAGAGTCTTGTTACCTCGTTACCATAGTAACCTTGTTACCATGAGTTACTCACTCATACAGTAAGGTCCAGCTTTCGAGAAGGACCTGTTTCAGAAGCACACTTTCACCCCTACTGTTGTATTCAAGGTTGAATTGTGTTCCAAACTAGAGAGAAGACGCCAATATCTCCTCCATAGAACATTTTTATCTAGCTCCCATTTCAGACTGGGCCTGAATGATTTCCAATTACCTTTTCATGATATGCTTCAGTGTTGCTTAGATATCGTATCCATGCATAGGATGTGTTGTCACCTGCCTTACCTTAAGGGGGATAAACTATTGCAGAACAGTAGTTTTGAAATATTATTTCCCCTATCGTAATGGTGTTAAAGCTTGTTTTAAAGCCAATGTTCAGTTAAAGTAAAAGAAAAGATGAGGTAAAGTAAATTTACCTGCCACTATGTCTTTAGACTGTGGGAAGAAAACTGAACACCTGTAGGAAACCCACATGAACACAGGAAGAAAATAAAAACTCCACACAGAAAACACCCTGGGTCCAGAATTGAACATTTTGGGGTAGGCTGGCTGATAAACAGTCCCCTAAGAGACCAGCCTTCCATATATTGCTTTAAAGCAAATTGCATGTAATAATATATTATAGTATCCACAGAAATAAGTAATATTAATATGGAAAATGAAATTGTGCAAAAGAAATCACATTATTTATGGGTCTAATATCCTGGACTAGAATAAATATGAAATTTTTATTTGACTAGGTATTTGGAATTTTCAATTTTGGAATTTTGGTTTCCTGGGAAACGAGAAAACAGAATTTTAAACAAAAACACAGATTAAGTGCATATCTTTCTGATGAAGACACTGAGGACGAATTGACATCTTTGGAGGACTATACATGAATTCTCAAAACCTTATGGAAACTGTTAATAAAAAATTTCAAGGTAAGTCTCATTTCAGTAAAAAAAAACAACTGTTGCTCGTTTTTAATTTGGGAAATCTGTAATTATTCACCAATATTGCATTGTCGTTTGTTACTCACTTTCATTGGTGTTGACACTTCTACAATACCTGCAGTGGAGGGTAGAGGAATGTGCAAACTTTGAAACAATTACTGTAGATCCTTTCAGTTATTATGAAAATTGCCTGATCTACTCAGGTGTCTCTTGATAAATTGAGAACTGCCATCAGTCCATTTGTCTAAGGACACATCCTAGACTTGAATGGTGGTGTTGTGAGTGCAGGACCCAACCTGTCCTCATACTGTGTTTAAATATACTGGCCAGTATAAATGATATGGCCAGCAGACATATCACTCTGCAACTCACAACTGGCAACCCACAGAAGCTAAGCAGGTGTGAGCCTGGTCAGTACCTGGATGGGAGACCTCCTGGGAAAAACTAAGGTTGCTGCTGGAAGAGGTGTTAGTGGGGCCAGCAGGGGATGCTCACCCTGCGGTCCATGTGGGTCCTAATGCCCCAGTATAGTGACAGGGACACTATACTGTAAACAGGTGCCGTCCTTCGGATGTCCGAGGTCCTGACTCTCTGTGGTCATTAAAAATCCCAGGGCGTTTCTCGAACAGGGTAGGGGTGTAACCCTGGTGTCCTGGCCAAATTTCCCATTGTCCCTTACCAATCATGGCCTCCTAATGATCCCCATCTGATGTAATTGGCTCCATTACACTGCTCTCCTCCTTACTGATAGCTGGTGTTGGTGAGCGTTCTGGCTCACTATGGCTGCCGTCGCATCATCCAGGTGGATGCTGCACACTCCCTGGGTTTTTTAATGACCACAGTCAGGACCTTGGTTTTATGTCTCATCTGAAGGATGGCGCGTCTTTACAGTATCGTGTCCCCGTCACTATACTGGGGCATTAGGACCCACACAGACCTCAGGGATAAATAGATGGATAAATAAATATATTTTTACACCTACTGACGGTAAGACTTTTCTCTGTGCCAGTGTTCTTCCATCCCCACAGCACAGTAACATAAATAGATATTTTTTGCAGCACATAACCCCCCTCCCAAAACACACATTCACAACACTTGCCTAAGCAAATAATTATTAATATTATGAACAAAATAATTGAAAGTTTAATATGAATTGGCCCCGAGCCTCACAGTTCATGCTCCGGACATGGAGCTCTTGTTCAACTGCTCTCAGACATTGTTTTTTTTCCTTAATGTCTGTCAAACTTAAATTGTTGCACAAGCAATTCCACTGCGAACAATCTTCTGTTTTTTTATATACTGTACAGCCAAAGTCATGTCCTTGTTCAGTGCCTCTTCTCTTCTGAAGTCTAGACAGTGAGAACTGTTTCAGCGGAAAACCTGTGGCGTTGCAGAATCCTCTGCTAGCTTAGAGTGGCGCTGTGTGGCTCTGAGTTCATGAGCGTCTGTGATTGAATCCTGGCCGAGCCAGAATAAATCTGCTCCACTCACTGGTGTTAAACTCTATCATACAATCTGAGCTATGTGTGCTCTTCCCATACTTTTGATCAGAACTCTTATTTAATACATCATATTTAATTCGCTTCAAAAAATAAATCTTGCCACAAAAGCAAACTTGATTTCACAAAAGGGTTTTCTAGAAGGAATGTTGAAATATTCTTAAACAATACCAATAATCTTACTGTCTGTAATGGTAAACCGATAAATGAACGTTAAACATGAATTACAGGACTTTAAGGGGAAAACATCTGAAAACTAATTTTCAGCATGCATTTTAATGTGTTTTTTTAAAAAACTTAAATGGCAAAATAAATTCTCTTTCCTAAAACTTTTCAGGTGATGGCTAGAATTCTACGGCTTCATTCATCTTCAATTAAATAATTTGTACCTCTGTGTAAAAAAAATAACATAAAAAAGTGGTGAAAAAAGTAATTAGGAAGAATATGAGCAATATTAGTTTTAGAACACATATACAGTATACATACTGTATACTTCATAATAATGCTACAAGACCTAGGTGTATTTTGTAATTATCTTCTAACTTTTTTTTTTCTATCAGGATTTAAAATTTCCAAGCACATTGTCAAGAAATGTGACAGATTGCATAAACCTCATAAGGCAGGCAAAGCTGAAAGAAAGTCTGAAATTTCACTTGCTTCCCAAACAGGTAATTAATTAGCAAAGCCCATAAAGCTCACATTATCTTACTATCTGGCAGTAGGTATTCCAGACAGGGATCCTTAACAGCCTCACTCATTATCACTTACTCAAAAAGAAAACAGTGACTCTTCAGCTGTAGGTCATTGCATTAGCAGAACATTTATTTCTTTTTATATGCAACACAAACTTATCTAGACTTTTCCTTTAGGGATAATAATAAAAGGAAACAATGTTCCTGCTGCCAGACACACCTCAGTCTCCACACACAATGTCTGTTCATTAATGAAAATAATATTTCAGTCTTAAAAACAAGAAAATGAGATACAGGTGCTCATAAGTATACTACTGTGATACTGGGTATTTCCAGGCACGCTGAATTAGCATACAGTATACATGCTGTTAAAGACATTTTAATAATCTATCATAAACACTAAAACTTACTGGTTTACTTAGAGTTTACTGTGAGGGAACTCCCAGTATTGCATATTTACTGAACTATCATTGTACATACAGTACAGTATCACACAGTAGCTATCAATGATGGTTTATAATAAAGAACAAAATAAAAATTAAACAACATGTATAAACACAGTTCAGTGTCCAAAATGGATTTTTACTCTTCTGTAAAACGTTTTGACAGTCTCATGCATACAGTATGTCGAAAATACATGAACATTTTATTTCATAATAATAATTCAGTGAGATCTCTTCCTTTTTTTGAAAGCTTGGATGCTAACACTTGAATATCTCTTACTGTCCATGCAGGTGGAGAAGGTCTGGCCCAGTGTTTGAAGGTCCAACCGAAGGCTTTAGAGAGGCTGACTCCAGGCCTTTCAGCTCCTTGCTCAACGCTAAGTGAAAATTATTCAGGCCTCACCCATTGCCAAATCTTCGAATCCCCTGAAAACCTCGGAGAGGAGGCCAAGAGGGCAAGTCTTACTGACTTTTCCCTTTTCTGCCCTCCTGCCAGCCCTATCCTGGTAGAGTCTGACCCCTCGGACTCGGAGCCACCCCTCGCCACCACAGCACAGACTGAGGGTCAGAGTGTGGATCCCGCGTTCATCCGCACCATCACCTCTGCTGAGCACGTCTGTGGGGAGAAGAGGTACAAGTGCTCTGGATGTCTGCGTTACCATGACACCCTGGGCTCCCTAATGAGCCATATTGAACAAGGCTGGAGAGAGGGATTCAGCTGCAGAGTGTTCTACCTGAAGCTCAAGTCTATATGGGAACAGAGCCTCCTAACACACAGCCAGGTGACCTCGGTGGTCTCTGGCTCAGACTCACAACTCAGTTCACTTACCAGTCTCCAAGGAGAGAAAAACAAAATTACTAAGCAGAAGAAGACTGACATGATTCACAAATGGCTGCAGAACACAGAGCTTCCCACCACATCTCACTGATGAACTCTCCATGGACAGAAAAAAAGACGTCCATGTAGACTGGATGTAGTCTAAGATATCCCTAATTAAACAGAAACTAAAAGTGAATGAAATGATTTTGCTGGGTATGACTTTCAAATGAGCAACACTGTTTTTCACTGAAATCTTTATCTCTCTCTATGTATTTGATCTGTTTTTTTATTAAAAATGAATAAATATTGAGTGTTTCATTAATTAACCTTTAATTAAACAAAGATCCTTTCACTTGGTCTGATGATGTGTGCCTCACTCGATCTGTCTATATCATACATGTCGACAGACGCTTTCCACATTGGACATACTGTATAGGCAACCTGAAGGGAGGTCCTAGGCTCTCCTGGAAACTGACGCAAGTTTAAAAAAGAGTAGAAAAGTAAGCCATTGTGGTCAGTGTAATAGAGAGGGTATCTGTGATTGCTGAAGCTCTTGCATCAGAAGTAAAACAGGTTTAAAGGAATCCAGGGCCAGAGTACATCAGCTTATGGTGTGACATTAGATCCTAAAGGGCTTTGATCTCATGGGCAGCATGAGATTTAATCTTTAATACGAAGCTATTCTTTTCTTTCACAAGGTTATAGATTATCTGATGTGTTTCTTCTGATGTTAGTTTTCCATATCAGATGTGGAAGAGTCCATGTAACATTGCTTTTATTTTAAGAAATACTGTACCGTCCACTTCTTTAACAGTGGCTGCCCAGTTTTATATTAAAACATATATGTGACTCCACCACTTGGCAGTAGGTTCTGGGGTGGTTACAGAAGCCATAAGAAATACGGGCAAAATAAAAGAATACAGCAAAAAAACGCCTGTTCCAAAATAGTGTTCCGGGGCAAGAAAATAACACTTATAAAAGGGAAAAGACATTCAATAAAAATAACTGCAGTATCTCCAGGGAACCTCCTGATGACAGCTTTAAGATATTGACCTACAAAATTGAGCTACAGTGTAATAGGACGCAGACGCAGACGCAGACAACCCTTCACCCAATTAAAGAAACACCAGGAGTACAAGGTTAAATACCCTAAGCTCCACTCCCATTTCTTCTTGAGGCCTCCATTTAACCCAGAAGTGAATTGGGCTCTGTAATTCAACACAAAATGGTGGAACAGACAGACATGGAGTCTCGATCCACAGCAAGGTAAGGCGGAATTGCAAATAACATACAGCATGATGTGTAAAAATGCTTTGCTACATTAAACAAAACATAAACACATAACTTCTAGCATGAAATAGAAGAAACAGGTAAGTTTATTTAATAGTTTAGGTGGGTAGCTGCGTCAGCATGTGTAGGCTGCAAAGGAACAAGTAATAGGTTTTTCCATGCTGAAAAAAAGAAGAAAGAGAACACAACGTTTCGGCCGTGGAGCCTTCTTCAGGTGCGAGAGAGACAGGGCAGTAGGCAAAGGTAAAGTAGCGGGAGAACAAAGGTTGGGAGGGAGGAGGAGTGAGAGGCGGGAGCAGGGGACAGAAAGAGAGGCCAAACAAGAGGTGTGAAGTAAGAAGTCAGAATGGGTGCAGAGAGGTGTGAAATGAAACTTCCAATGAATGGAGAAAATTTAAAAGAACAGTAGTCTGTTGTTAAGAGAAGCGAGAATGTGTGATCCTAGCTGCAGAATAATTTTGGTTTCAGTGGTCTTTCTGATGTATGAGTTTGGAAAACCGTCTTTGAGAACACAGACGGAGAGATTAGAGTGGTCGTGGCCGTCAGAGGTGAAATGAGAAACAATGGGCTTGGAGAGATCTTTAATCTTCACAGCCCTGACGTGTTCTCTGAAGCGGTCTCCGAGTCTCCTTCCTGTTTCTCCAATGTAGATGGCTGGGCATTTACTGCAAGAGATACAGTAAATAAGGTTGCTGGAGGTACAAGATGCTGTCTGGGTGATCCGGAATTGTCCTGAGGGGCCTTGAATGAGTGTGGTGGTGGCTGTGTACTTGCAGGTGATACAGCGAGCTCTGTTGCAAGGGAAAGTGCCTGGTGTGGATGGTTGTTGAGGGCGGTCGAGGGAGCTGTGAACAAGGAGGTTACGCAGATTAGGTGGTCGGCGATATGAGATGATAGGGTGATCAGAAAAGAGGGCCCCAATGGAGGGATCATCCTGTAGGATGGAAAAGTTGTGGTTAATGGTCCTGGGGATAGGAAGTGTGTTAGCTTGCTGTGTCCATCAAAACCAACTTGGAAAGTAAAAATTGAAGACATCAAAGGCAGAAATCAATGCAGGAGAGGGTAGGAAGCAGCAGAGATGACTTCAGTGGCCAGACTTCCTCGATTCTTTCCATGTTACCTTCACTACCAAATCTCCGGTAAACTGCTTTAGAATCTGGCTTCTCCCTCCAAGCTGCTCATTCTTCAAGCTGCACTGAGTTAGGAGTGGTTGGTGGCCTGGTCACCCTGTGGGTACTGAAGCAATTCAAAGAAGTCACAGTTGACTTCAAGCTCTTCACTAAAGTCTGGGGGGAGACAATGACAGGCAAAACCAATCTCACTCAGCTGTTCTAGATCACAATCATCATATAACTCTTGCACGCAGTTCGTACTTACCACACCCTACACACCTTCTCCACCTTTGCAGCTGCCTCTTGGTTAACTCTTCTCTCTCAGTGGGCTTCTGAGCCTCCTCATCCTAAACCCGGGAACCTACCTGTTAACCAATTACCATTAAACATACACAAAAGACAAGGCTTATAACACTTAAATAGTCAATAAACATTCACAAAGCATCTGATTCTTGGGTGTCATGATCATTCCTTCTCCTTTTTCAGTGCCCAGGAGAGGGAGACCTCCCATCACTTATAAATTAGCAATGACTAAAAACAACGGTTAAAATAAATTAAGATTAAAGTGAAAGTAAGAGGGTTCAGCTGTTGCAACGTTTTATTTTGAAAATCCAGAACATACTAATTGACGGAAGAGCCACTGCCATTACTTAAATTAAATTAACTAGCTTAAAGGGAAGTTCTTATTGTCTTTATGAACTAACTTGGAAACCTACACAATGAATTGAATCAAGTCTAATGTGCAAAGTGCATTTGGACACAAAGTGATCTATTCCTGATAAATCTGCCCGACTCATCTGATATATTAGATTCAAGTACATTTGATGGGGATAGAAATCCACATTTTATGCCTTTGTTTTAAGTGTTTTACTAGTTGGGAGTCACTTCTCTGCAATTTAATTGGTTCCCATTCATTGCAAATGACTGGATGTTTCCTGAGGACTAAGTGAAAATGTTTCTATTTCCTTTCTGCCAAAATAACCATTATCAAAATGGGGAAGGGAAATGCTGGTTTGCAATATGAAGCGAAGGGAGGAAGCAGTAAAAATATTTAAATATCTTGTTTGGAAAATACCAGTTATCTCTTAAACTGGTGTCATGTCATTTTCTGGTATAATCAGATTGCAGTAGATCTTGTCCTGTACTTTTCATGCATGAGCACATGGGAAATCTCACCAGTGTCTCAGCTGATTTTGGAGGGAAAGGTGGGTGGTAGTGATATTTATATTTGTATTTGACAGTTTCTGTAGCCACAACCTCATCAGACCTTACCTTGCCTCTGGAAATGTTCCTCAACTAGGGATAGCAGCTGGCATTGTGTCTGTTGTGGGTGGAAAAAAACAGCAAATTACCACTCCAGAGATAGCAGAAATCCTAGGCAGACAGGCTTTATTAATAAGCATGCAGGGGAGAGTAGCTTGAGAAAACTCCCAACGTAGTCTCTCTCTGAACAGCAACTACTACTAGAGTTTATGCAGCCCACTGCACTCCCCTCCAGTCCATTTGAGGTAATTCCACTTCAGGGTGAGATATCTAATAGTTTCACAACATCCCTTTATTCTGCCCGGCAAAACAAAGCAATTAGCAACAATTTACAAAGCTATTTTAGAGTAAACCACAGAGTTTATATATAGCTAGCTATAAATAGCTCAATAGTGGAAAAACACAGGCTTTATTCACAAAAAATAACCTAATTAAGCCTATAAATTTATCACTTCTAAACTACTTTACAATACCTCCAGTCTCATCTCAATCTCAGTTTGAATGTGGTGCTCTTGATTGTGAGTAACTTTGACCTCGACCTTGATTGTTTGCCTGCAATGTTTTCTTATAGGAGGATGGATGAAGCTATTCTCTTTGGATTCAAGTAAAAAGTACATTTTTCTTTCTCTGTGGCTCTTGATCTTAACCGATCCTGATGCCTTAACATCTGTTTTCGTATTATTAGCCATGGTGCAATGTCGAGCTAGTGGTCTGTTTCTTAAGTTCTCGGGTAGAGCTTAAGAAAAAAACAGCCGCTTGGGATTTTTCCTTTGATCTTCAGGTCCTAGACACAGATTCCTATCAAACTGCTGGGCTGAACAGCTCTGCTCTTCCTGAATCTTAAGGCATTTTTTATAGTCCATAGACTTTGCCCTTAAGGCATGTGAACTTCAAGTGCTGTTGGTCAGGGCTTCATTCTTTTGTGTTGTACCAGACCTATCCTATCACGGCTCCCCATAATCAGAAAAAAGTCCCTTCTAATTCCCACAAATGCCGGCCTAGAAACCAATTATCCAATCACACCCCTCGATCATCATCACACCTCCCGATTCTAGAATACTTAAGGGCTCTTTACCACCACCATGGGGCTCATTATTGGGTATCCCAGTTGAGCTCCTAGTTAATGTCGTAGCGTCTACTTGATTGCTGTTCGGCTCTTGAATCTCTGGCTTCCCGACCTGTGCTTCCCTTTGACTACGATTCTGGATTCTACGATTAGGCTAAGTACACCTGGCTCTCTCTCAAACCCTGTGCTTGATATTAAACCTGCTACCGCATAGGGTCAAATTATACATCCCTCTTTGGCCATCGTGCCGTTACATATACTGCCTTCCTGCCCAATATTGCCCTCCAGAGGCATCCAACACTGGTAACTGTAACGGGAGCAGGTCCAGGCTCCCGTTAAGCGTAGCTCAGGACCCTTTGCAGACGGTATAATCCAGAAGTAAGTGGAGATGGACATCAGGGAAAAGACGTTGAGGATCAGGACGGGTTGACAGACAGGGGGGAGTGACGACGGTGATCTGGTGCT